TGATGTTTTCCGATTTCTCTGCAGGTTCTTAAACCCGACTCTTTTAGCTTCATTGATTGTAATTTTCAAACGCATAACGTGCCACGGGGAAGCAACAGCTGCAACAGCGCTGCGGGTGTCACGCGCAAGAAAAGGCATCTGTCCAGGCAAATTTGTGCACAAGCACTTTGGAAAAGAAAGAATCTTTGTTTGCGTACGTGCAACAATTTAATTCACGGCTCTCACAAATTTGAGCTCGCTACGTGCACATGTTGATCTTTGTGCCCTGGGGATAAAGAATGTGATATATACGCCGAGGATCAGGTGATAACAACCAACATCATGTGGTATGACATAGCTAACAAGTGACAGGAGAGCCCACAAGTAGGCTTTGTAAAGAAAGAACAGATTGGGCATCCTATAGGAAGGATTTTAAAGATATATCACAAGGATTGTGGAGTGCTGTGTCAATATGATATATTGCAGAAGATAAAACTTGAAATAGTCCAGCTCTTCTTTCAAAGCCATCAAGTGCTTCTTAGCTCTTTCCTTACTGCACTTATTCAAATCAATTCATTCAAACGATGCATTCCAAACCCTCACTTCAATGCGTTCAGCGCCGTTTTTAGACCAGTGACGCCATCTAGGATATTACGTAGAAACTCTACTTCGAGTTTCGGTTTCGGTTTTTGCTTTTCCACGAGGGAGTGGCAATTCTTCCGAGTGACTTTAAAGTTCCAGGATCGTGAGTGATTGCATCAAGCATGGCATCTTCGTCTCACGACAACGCTACCCGGAAATATACTTCGAATTTCCGGTGCATATGCAATCAATTTTGTGGAGAATGAAAGTGGCAGCAGTGAGCCAAAAGATGACGTTCCTTTCGTGGATTTTAGTTTCAAGTGTGGCAGTGGGTCGAACCAGCTGGGATCATCCATGGGTGCCCGTCGGTAATATGTTTTGTTTTGCACGATGAGGGCATTTATTGCCTCCATGAGCTTCCGTGGACATACTGGGCGTGTTCTGAACCTATTATTTTTTACCTGCGGGGGTGGGGGGGGGGGGGGTGTCTCCCTTACATAGAATTGATTTTATGCCATCGGCAGCAAAACGAGTGGAGTTGTCTTCAAATAGGTCGCCCGGTTCCAACCTCGGCATAACTCGAAGGAGTAGCATGAAACGCTCTGGTCGGGGCTTCGGGGAATGGCACAATCACCACAAAGTCTAACTTTTTTTTTTTTTTTTTTTTTAGAACAATAAGTTTTTTTATGGAGGTTTTTAAACTTGTAGGATTTGTTTCTAGAAGAGTAAGGTACAAAATGTACATTTCTAATTTTTTTTCACTCTTAATACTTTGCAAGGCACATTTAATTCACATAAAAACTTAATTGACTTTTTCTTTTTTTCTCTCTATTTTTTTTTTTTTTTTACTTTGGGACATTTTGGTGTTTCTGAAGGCCCTCTTGGGGTTCCTTCTACCAGATGTCAAGCCGAGCAATACAACTTTATTTTTTTAAATTGATGCTGGCTGTCCCCCAATGTCGAATAGACCAAACTGCGTGTGCCAAGTCAGTAGGGTTGATTATTCTCAGTTTTAGAGTTTTCAAGTTGGTTTACACGGACTTAGTTTTCTTTATTTACCCCTTTGTCACTGTAATTATCCAATATCCCTCCCTCTTCGATCCAAAAGGAATCCCCGAAATGTCAGAGGTTGAGAACCACTGTGCTGTAAATAAACACCTTGTTTGACATTTACATTTTTGAAAAGAAAATTTTTTTTAGCTACATTTTGGTATGCTCTCGTACATCTAGTCCCGAGTTTTGCGGCTGAACTCTTTTTTTTTTTTTTTTTTACCAAGACCACCCTTTAACAGCTCTTTTTCCTGCAGTAAGAAAAGAGTTAAGGCCCATGCAAGATGCAGCATTGAAGTAGCATAGTAACAATGTGTGTGCGTAAAATAAAAAAAAAAATTAAACATTCAATATCAATAAGGTCTGATCTACCCAGCACAAGTAAAAGAATCGCTGCTTGTTTGGCTCCAAGCTTAAAAAATATTTCAGAGCCACTGGCATAGACTAAAACATAAAGTAGCATTGTAGCCAAACACTAGTACAAGTCTGAAAGATTTTCAGGACATAAACTGAAAACAATAAAAATAATTTTCGTGCAGAAAATTATTATCCCGTGGACGAACCCAGGTTTACCAGTGGGAACATTCTCTGAAAAACCAATATCCCAAGCTCAAGTCCTTCTGGGGAGCTTTCACTACAGTAACACATGTGAAGTACAACCAGCCCACAAAAGCACAGGCTTTGTCAACAAAACAGGAGCACAGGCAAGCCAGACTTACAAGAGCACTGAAAGCACAAAAGTATGTTAAGCCAAAGCAAATGGTTGGCCCGTGCTTTGCAACTGCTGAAGAGCTCAGAGAAATGACCTATAACCACGGCACATTGCCGTTTGCCCCAATGCGAACACACATTTGTATTTGACCGGCTTTGAAGATGAGTGTGCCTTTCTAGGTTACCCTCGGGAACATTCCCACCTACACCGCAAGCACTCCAAACACGGACCTAAGTGTCACGTAAAAGAACAAAATCATGGCAATCACACGCTTGAAAAGCTGTGCCCAGTTCTGCGCAAGAACAGACTGAAAACCACCACCTCATGACAGCTGCAGTTCTGCGTTCACTGCATTATAATTTGTTTATAGTAAAGAAGTGGAAGGCGGAGGATGCTATAAAGCATCTGAAGAAATCCAGCGAGTACTACAAGCGTACCAGAAGACTTTACAATCAGGCACAGGCATACACAAAATGCAAAGCTACATGGTAATGCTCCCAGTGCTGAAATAATTCAAATTATTCTCTTAGAATATACCATAGTCTACTTTAGGAGGGCCGAGGCTCGAGTAAATACATGGCAGTGCTACACCCATCTGTCAGCTGACAGTCAGTGCATCGAAGGCCTTGTGGACCTGGGCTAGCCTGTACTACCATATATTGCCTCGTGTAAATCAACCTTTTCAGAAATAGGCATCTCAAAATAAAATATATATATCTAAAAAAAAAAAAATTATCATTAAGACCAATAAAATATTGTATTTTATTGGTCTTAATTTGGGGGGGGGGGGGGGGGGGGGGAGGTTAGGCTTATATTTGAAACCGGCCTACTAGCAGCAATATACGATAGTAGCAGTGCATGTGCAAGATACTTTTTTTTTGTTGTTGTTAAATTAGCGCACTTAATAATATCAAACAGCTTGAGATTTTATAATGAAAATTTTCAGCCTTATCTGTGGTTAAGCAAACTACAGCTGGATACATCATCCATCGTTGAGTCAGCAGCTATGGTGAAGCCCTAGTGTAGCAAATTTTCTAAATGTTCACAAATTGAAGCAGTTTAGCCGAGTATTGCACCTTGTGAGCTCTTCGACATACAAGCTGTCGCCCCCCAAAAAAGTCAACAGGATTTTTTTTTGCCACTGAAAAAATGAGCTCCGCATCGCCAGACGCTCATTCTCCACCCAAATGCAGTGCTGGCCCTCCAAACCAGATGTCAAAGCTTCAGAACTAAGCGTCATCTTATTCAAAAGATACGAGTGATTTTCTAAAATTTTCAATGGGAAAATGGCAGCCGACAGAGCTCTTGATTACAAGAAGCTGAATAGCACCCGTCGCCGAAAATGGGCAAAAGTGGGCCCCATTTTCCCAATAAAATTTTAAGAAAATCATTTATAACTTTCGATTGAGATAACGGTAAGTTCTGAAACTTTTGCATCTGGTTCAGACCGCTGGTGCTACATTCGGGCAGAGAATGAGCGTTTGGCAATGCATAGTTTATTCTTGTGGAGGAAAAAACACCATGTTTTTTAGGGGGGGGGATACAAATTATGGTTTAACAACTGTAATGTTCTGATACAATGCCTAATTCAAACTAGGTTACATATGATAGTTCCACTATATACACTTGCTGGCTGGATCCTTCGCTTCAAGCTATTTTTAGACTTTAATGTTAGATGAACTTACCAGAATGTTTTTCCTATTAGCAATTGGTAGCTGGCAATATTGAATCTCTGAACATGTGGGGTGCAAGTTCCCACAAGGCCACTTCTCTGCAGCACACAAGCAGCACACAAGCACCCAAGGAGAAGGGCCCTCCCCAGGCAGATAAGGAAAAAGTTTGTTTGTACATCATATTTATTGCCTATTTCTTGTTGAGTTTTTAACCCTGGTTCATGTTTTCCCTTTTGTTAGGAATGTTCAATGTTGCTACATGAGTCCATGTCTATGTCTTAGATTTTCAGATTTAAATAATAACTTTGCTTTGCTGTTCCGCTATGAATGACAGCATTCCCTCCGTATCCTAACAGAATAAGCACGGTAAAAAAAGTAATCTCCACAAACGTTTTATTATGCCATCAACTCCATACGTTGTGTCATCACAAGCTAACTCCCCATACTTGTGCATCAAACTCGTACAACCTGGCAGCCCAAATCCTCTATACACCCCAAGATGCCTTCTCGCGCTTCGCGCCAATTTACTCGCAGATTGACGTCAAACGCAACGCGAGGTAAACGGAAGGAGTTCCCGTAACCACGCCTTAGGACTAACTTAGAGTTACTAGATATGGTATGCTTGAAAGTAGTAATACTTCGGCCACCTAGGTACTTAAAATAAATGTTACCAGTTATCCGAACCTTTACTTAAAATCACAGAAAACAGTTTCCTGTCTTCCAGGGACGTTAAAACAGTTCACGACGGAGCAAAACTATGTAGACCGAACTTCCGGAAAACCGAATCCAAGGCTCGGGATGCCGCAGCTTCAAATCGTAACAATTGCCCATTACGCCTGCTTTGCACCGCGCACCAAAACGACAGCGCCCAAAAGAAAATTGCGTAGCATAGTGCCGATGCTTGAGGCATAGCTTATTTGAAGGCTATAAAGCTAACTGTGGTGCGATTTATACAGTCACTGTCCTCGAACTTACTTACGAGAGAAGCCTTAGATGTGTCTCACCTTAGCTTCAGATTTCGGTAGCACGGCACCAACCTCGGCCGAACCTACCACCTGCGCTCTCTGGACGTTGCTGGCAGCATGGTCCTGGAGCTTCTCCGCGTCTGGTATCTGCGGGGCGATGCCTGGCCTTTGGACAGACTTCAGCTGCTGAATGGCAGCCTGAAGCAGGTTCTGTTCACTATGACACGTTTCGAGTTGACTCTGAAACAGGCAGTCAGCAGACTTACAATCCATGCTCTACCTTATGACCCCTTCTCATTGCACGACCTTTTGCTTTTGCTAATGTATGAAAAAGGGGTCAGTACTTCTAGCGTTGTACCCCTAAAAACAAACATAGATGTGCTACAGAAAAGTTTCCGAGTCCTTTTCTGTGCTTTGTTTATCCCGTTTCTTTGTCTTATGTTAGTGTTTCTAAGTCTGTTTATTGTTCATCCTGTTGCCAGGAGGTTCAAGAGATTGAACTGCTCTGTGACTTAACACTCCCCTGTACTGTCCTAGGCAAAATCTCTGTAGTGTTGTTCAGAGCACAAGCATCAGGCTGAACAAAAGGTCTTTGATGCACGAATGCTTATCCAACCTAAGGCACATTCCACAACTTTCCTTGGTACTGTATGCAACTTCTGCAAAAGGTACCAAAGTTGCATGCAACATGTGTCTTCTGTGGGAAATCCATAAGTTGCACACAACCTCTACATCTGGTGAATTCAGAGTTGCATGCAACTTTGCACCACTCAGCTTGTTGTTAAAAAGAAACTTTTTTCAGCTGCAGACTTCCAGAATAAATCACACGTGGAACATGCACAGGCCTAGAGCTGAAACATGAAACAATCTGAACTGAAACAACCTGCTAATCAGTTAGGACTGTTGGATGGAGTTGGATAGAGGTGGCAATAGCATTCCATGCACAAGAGCACTATCTCTCCTGTCCAGAAAAAGAACAGTTATTTAACCCTGAGGGGGCAAGTAATTGTCCCTTCCAGCCTAAATTGCTGCCAACTCAAATTCTGAAAGCACGAAAAGAAAAACAGTATGCAACGAGGTATTTACCACTCGGCTGCCTCTGGAGTGTTCAGATTTTAATTCTCTATGACCGTACACATGGCCATCAAGACACAACAGTGGCGTTTCGTGGTAAATGTTTGTGCATGAGTGAACGACACTATGCTCTATGAACTAACCAAAGACTTAAGAATGCATAATGATGGATGCCACAAATGTGTACTTGTTTGTGGAAAAATTTCTGTTGCCAATAATTAGCATAAACTATAAACAAAACAAACCTATTATCGTACACCTAGTATTTTCTAAGATGTTACATAACTGTTTTGCAATGGTAAAAAGACAATATGTCTGCTTGTCTCTGCACAAGACTGCACAAGGCATAGCCCAGTTCCCACAATTCTAGTAAGAATGAGTTTCATGCCAGGGTCATTACATATCCTAAAAAGTAAACAGAAGGCCCAATGATATGGTGGCAGAGAAAAACCTCAAAGAAATTCTAAGTGCAAGGGCATCCAAACATTGCTCACCCGCATTTTCTTCACCTCCGTGTCGAGTGCAACATCGCCTTTTAGTTTCAGGTCTCGCAGCTCAGCGATTTCTCCTGAAATACAGCACAGACTGAATGAGGCAATAAGAAATCTTTGCTAAATTAAAAGCAAGTGTGGACTCAAAGTGCAATAGATCAGGTGACCTCTAAACATGTTTGTAAAAATCACCCAAAACTTTGAGATGCCAAGTTTTCCTAAACATTTCGCCATAATTCAAGCGTGCTAAAAATATCCCTCGAGTGGCTTCTCTGCCTGATTAGCAGGAATGTAAAGAAAAGTTACAACAGCAGTAAAGGCTTTACTCGACAAACGTTTTGGAAAGTCTCCTGACCACGGAGAAGAGAATGAGCGCTACTCAAACCGGTCAGTTCTTGATCAGCAGTTTTCGGGTGGAAAGAAAACAAATTTTGAGCCGCAAATTGTGTTCTGGGTAGCTGGGCCCTCATATGTCATGTGCGAATAAAAATCTTGCTGATCATAAAGCAAAGCATAAAGTAAATTGCACATCTGTGTCCCTTTAACACACCACAGCTCAGAGCGCATGAAGCGAACTCTCGTGCTGCAGAACTCTGACATCCTTGATTCAACAGCCCCCTGCTCGTTTCACCCTGGATGAGCAATTTACTGGCAAGTGGTCACGTATCACTACTGCGTGATGCAGATTAAGGACCCCAGAATACCAGTGGTACAGGACTGGCGAAATTTCTCACTTACAGGAGACACACCAGAAGCTCATTGTGGCTAACTTCCCTTGTGACACAAACACAACACCGTTACAATTACTTTTACAGCTGGCCAAATGGCAGATGGTTGGGGAGGGTGTTGCCAAAAGTTGAGAAGTAGCTTGAGAAACCAGACATAGGTGGATATCCTAATAGTGGATGAATAGATTACAAGCTAGTGGATAGCTAAAAAAAAAAAGAACATGTCCCAATGTAGATGCACAGCCCCTAGACAAGGCATGCAAATATCCCACCAAAATAATATCCAGCAGTAGACTGAGAAACCAGATAGATGGACATCCGAGTGGTGATGGATGCAAGTAGAGGATAGCTAAAGAAAAAAGCAGGTCCCCAAGTAGGTGCACAACCCCCAAACAAGACATGCAAATATGCCGCAAAAATAATATCCAGAAGTACACTAAGAAACCATAGGTAGATATATATCCTAATGGTAGATGGTCGGACTACAAGCTAGTGGATAGCTGAAAAGTCGGGTTTCCATGTGGACACACAGCTCACAAACAAGAGATGCAAATATCTCACAAAAATGTATGCAAGCTTGATCACACTGACAAAGAGTGGTAAGCACAGAATGTGTGATATGCCTTCTAGGGAAGAAGAGAAAGGCGTCTGAATGGCACTACCTACCAAAGATTTGATCTCATTTCTGACATACGCTGCGAGACGGCACAGCATGACAGGAAAGGCCGCGAGGCGCACGACAACACCAAAGGGTTTGCTTTTGCGTGATCCGCACACCGACCCTGGATAGCTCAGTCGGCAAAGCACTTGGCTCACAATCTGGAGGTGGTGAGTTTGAAGTCTTTTTATATGGTTCCGTATGGGTGTACTGCTTTTCGGTGTTGATTTCTTGTCACAGCTGGCTGTTACAGTCAAACGTTACAGAACTCCATAAAAATTGTCCGATAACACACTTGAAAGAGCAAACTACATGCAGACGGACAATGCACCAAACCAGGAAGGAAAACATCCCAGCAAGACACAGAGTCCCCTCACTGTTCAGGCTGACGTGGGCATCCCTCTCCTGCTGCAGCAGGACAACATGGCGCGCAAGATCCGCCTCCAGCTTCTCCTTCTCTTGCTGGAGGCTGTTGTAGCTACTCTTCAAGTTCCCAAACTCCTCCTGGTGAGATTTCTGCAAAAAAACCACACAGCCCTCGAGTAAGCCACGATAGGCACTGCAAGTCGACCTATGAGACACCTCCACGCTTTACACGCTTGGCTTGAGGAGAGAAGTGACAACTAGAGCCACTAAATAAGCTACGCTTCAGAGCGACGACACCTCAGCCATTTTCGTGCTGTTCAAATCATTGTTGCCAGCTATCCGAAGCTTTATCTGAAATCCCAGGAAACGGTTTTCTGTCTTCCTGAAATGTTATAACAATTCGTGACAGAGCACCTGAGCTTCCAGACTCCATATCTAAAGACGCATTTTCTAATTGCAAAAATTGCCAGTTGCGCCCACTCTACACTATGCACTGAAATGGCAGTGCTTACGAGAGACTCGGGGAATAAAGTGGAAATATCCTGAGTAGCTTCTTTAGTGACTAGTGACAACAGCCTGCCTAGAGCCATGTTAGAGCTTCCTGGGCTCGTTAAAGCACATGCTCCATCAGTTTTGTTACGCTGCTTAGTGCTAATAAAGAAATATCATTCCTATAAGAGTAAAGGTGGGAGGGCGACACGCGTTTGAGCAGGTTCAATACAATAGAAAACTGGACTTGAGAAGGTAGAAAAAAAATACTGTAAGGTAGGGAAACAATGTACAGATGCTCAATAGAAGTATGTCAAATGTAATGTCCAAAACCTTGGGATGATTGTTTTCATTGCAGTTAGACAGGGTAGAATGAATAAAACATGAGGTCAACCGAAGCTGGAAGAAAAAACTCCAAAAGAGTCTTTTGCTACGAGACTTAAGACAAAAATAAGCAAAGTATTTTAGAGAAATGATTGCTGCCACTCTGAGGTTTCCAGCAGATTTCTGTCGCAAACAAAGATATACCCGTTTTCAACTGAAGAACCGTAGTAAAAAAGGTCCGGCTCGTCGCGGAGCATTACTCATTTCTCCCTTTATGTGGATAATTAAGATATATGCAGGTGAATTTTAGACTACATATATATGTTATCTTATCAAGACGTACAGGCTCTAAACGCCAAAAGCATTGCTTTTTCCTTCGATAACCAAATCTCGTAAGTACTTCGCACCACGTATGAACAATGCGCAAAACTTGCTTTTCTCTTGAGGTGAAAACGGGTAAAATATGGCCACACAAAACTCTCAACTTACATCCATTTCTTCCAATTTCCTCTCCAACTGGTCAGCTTTTGACTGCACCCCCTTCTGCAAATGAATTCCGCAGCATTGGCAAAAGAGGAACATCCTGAACAATCGAGCACCTGCCCCGATGAGCAAAGGCTGTGGCACAAGCTACACCTTCCCTCACCTTGTCTCTCTCCCACTCATCTCTAGACAGCTGCAGTGCTGAAGGGAAAAAAAAAGAGTGCCATTAGATCTTGAGCAAAAGTAACTTCATTTTTAAAGCGTATTCAGGTATATTTGCTCCACCGAGGCTCAAATCAACATTTGGAAAAGTGACAGCAACAGCGATTTCCAAAGGCGGAAAAAAAGTGTGTAAACATACAGTATTTCCTTCGCCTTCCTTCTCGAGTTTCGGAACTAGTTCAGGCATCGCTCTAGAGTAACCTATTCTTTCCATACCTTATACATACCTCCTCCTTTACGGCACCAACAGTCCAGCGATATATTTTACTACATTATGTTTCTTCTACTGTGGGCCCCTTTCAATCGTCTATGTATAGTGCTTCAGTTCTGTTGCGTAACATTGCCTTTGCTTTGTGCAGAGCTGGACCCCACTGACACTTCGTTGTGTCATCAGAAGGACTTTCGTAGAGAACCTCCAATGTTTTATTACTCTTCCAATCAGCCCCTTACAATTTCGAAGTGCTGAAACAGTATTTGTTTTGTAGCTGTAATGACGTCATCCCTTTCACCAATAAAGCTGAGGCTGGTTTGTCCAGAAGTCTAAACTTGATTAGCAATTCTTAGAAACCCACAAGTGGGGGAGGTCATGGCTTCCTAAAGTACTCCTGCCACAAAAAAAAAAAACACATTGTGAAAACTTCCTTCACAGTATATTCTTTCATTTAATGTGGACACAAACAGCTCTTGGGCTTAGAACTGTACCCATTGTTCAAAACTAAAACAAAGAAAAGAAAAAAGCTGACACTTTCATCACCGTCACCATGGCAACTAACATAGGTTTTCCGAACGCAGTCTGCCAGACAAAGTTTAATAGTTTTGTAATAAGCAGCCGCAGACTGCTGCCGTGAAGCGGCATGAACACAGTCGAAGGGTGGGTAAACACGCTCCCCAGTGATACACGCGTCGTCCAAAAAGGTCATTCGGCGTTCGTTGCCATGATGATGGTGATGAAAGCAGACAGCCTTTATGCTGCAGAAGAACACTACGGCACAGCGATATGAGGTGCGCGCTGAGGCGATTCCCGCATGCTGTTCAATGGGTGGAACGTGAACAAAAAGAGTTTGAAATAAGAACTTAATGCAGAAGGCTGGTTCTATCCAGTGCCTCAAAATTTGATGAGCCTTACACAAAAAGTGTGTTTTCTTGGCCATCCTGCGCCGTTTTTTTTTATCCGTAACATTGGTTTGAAGTATCAAACTGCCGACATGTCAGGTGCCAAGAAGCACCTTTCAAAATTGGCAAGAATAGGTCTAGGTTACTCTTTGCGCGATTATGAAGAAGCTGTAAACATGTCAATGGGGGTGAGACAACAATGTTTGGAGGGTAAAAAAAACAAGGAAATCTTTGTGGTGCTAGCATTTGCTGTTGAGAAAAATAATGATTTTTTTCCTTTTTGTTTTACACTTCTGTCGCTGGGCTTGCATCATTGAGAAGCAGGTGTTTACTGACCTGCACTATTGGTAGCATGCGCAATTTACAGAGGGCGCTTCTCTAGCTATCATCATCTGTGACGTCGTGGATAGGACAGACTAGGACAGACTGCACATATCTTGGATCTCTCAGCTCGTCAAAGGACATTTTACCAAAGCTTGAAACTGTGGCATGCGTAGTCATGCTAACCAACACTTTTAGCGCCGAGGTGTCGAAGCGCTCGGGTAGTGGTGTGCTGTTCTCTACCCCAGTACAAAAAGCTGGATGATAAAAATAGAATATCCACCGCTATCCCACTACAGCATCTACCACGGTGAATAGGATATTTTTTATTAGGATTCAAACAAAATAAAACTGAAAAAGGAATGCCTCATCATATTGAAAATAGGAAAGCGAAATTCGAGAACCTCTTGTGTATGTAGTACCTAACCACTTCAGTGAAAGCGACTCTGTGTCTTTTGTTGGTTTCAATGTGTTCTGTGAGTGCTCTTCTCTTATTAGTTTCAAGTTGATTTCTTTTTGAATTTTGTAAACCAGTAAACAAACATTTCCTCGAAATAACTGACAGGAAGAAGCAGTGGCTGGCTTCCAGAGTTGTTTAAATTAAATCCCTGCTCATTCACACGGCCGATGCGAAACGTACGACACCTCCTCGCGATTGAAGTCTTAAATCTAGTAAGTCGGTGACACTTCAGCGTTTCAAAAAATGAGGTATGTATATACCTGCTATGAATTACTACCGTTTGTATGTTTAATTTTGCGGACCGAAATGTGCATAATGTGTGATGCGCTTCTCAGAGAGCTATTTTAAATTTGTAAACAATTCTTAGTAAAAATTGGATAGAACAAATAATTAATCGCCTGAATTTGCTGGGCCATGTCCGACAATTTAAGAATTTATAAAACTTTCCTTTTTTCTTTTTTTTTTTTTAGCAGAAGCCACGATGTGACAAACTTCTTGCCATGTATTTGATACGAGAGGAGCTAAGCTTCAGTAGCTGACGAGCGTTTACTCGTCAGAAACTGTTGAGTCCCACTTGGACAGAGGCGTCGGTATCGATAAGCTCAATGTAGTTAAAACAAGAGTGCAACGCTTTGCAACACAACTGTGTGTGTGTGCACAGCTAAGACAACACGTCATTTACTCTGGTGAATGCAGAACCTTTTCTACAGCAGCCTCCACAGATCCGATGGAATGTGAAGCTCCAGGCTTGTCTTTGAACATTTTTAAGCTTTTTTTTTTTCTTTTTTATATAAAAAGCAACTTTGAGGTTGTTATTCATTAGAAAGATCACTCATCAAAACGTCTTACACATTTCTTTAATAAGCCATTTTTAATCGGCATAAATGAAATCTAACATAGCCACTCCATGCTTTGACATAGCACATCGTTTGCTCGTGTCCTACCTGCTCCATTACAGGCGGGCACCCGCGAGGTGGCGTCACCAAAACATTTCATCACGAATAGGTGCACAGTCCAAGCCCCAAACCGATGCTTGTGATTTGCTTTCAACACAGTTTTATGCCACAGGCAGTAACAATCATCAGCACTTCTAGCAATACACTTTCTATTCTAAGTGAAAGATGACAGCTGGAATCCTACTAGAGAAGTCCTTCAAAGCAACCTGGATGTCTCAAGAAATTGCATCTCCGAAAGATGACCTAATTTGCTCTATTTCCCTTCATGTTGCAGCAAACTGGATACAAGGTATGATTTCCACCTGCTAAAAAAAAGGAGAGTGCCGACAGGTGTTCTCCCGGGCCGCCTAAACCAAAGGCCACATGTGCAACCTTATAAGAGTAAAGTTAGAACAGCGTTCTCAGAAATGAAACAAATTAGAAACACGAAATCTAAGACAAACCAATACCTTCGTCCGCCTTTTTCCTCTCCAAGGTTTCTGTCTGAAGTGTCTTTTCCAGCCTGCTTTTATGTTCGTAGACAACTGTAAAAGGCAAAAGAGGGATAAAACGCCTTCACGGAAAACCAACAAAGGAAACAGCTTTTGCAAGTGTTTGTTTCTTGCCACCATTATACACGCACAATTCATTCATAAACTGAAATAAACAATTAGGAGTTGCAATGACGACTTAAAAAGCTGCATCGCTCACGTCAAAAGTCCACATTCTGTTAAAACATTAGAATTTGGAAAATCAATATACTGAAGCGACATATATTCAAGAACAATAAAATTCCCTTCACGATAAGAAGTCTACATCTTCAAGATAATATTTCTGACTGAAAACGAGCTTCAGTTTTATTTGGCACTGAAGGTGGGCTCTTATCCCACATATATCGACAGCCCTCCAAGGCTCCTTCCTACATGTGCTCCAAGGCTCCTACATGAGCTCGAAATCACATTTAGTGAGTGTTTTAATATCCCCATGAGCCTAATTTTTCTTTATATAAACATGATGACATAATGTGCCTAGAGTAAAAAATACATCACGAAACTACCAATAAAACACAAGTCTCTTCATTATTGATGAAGCAAATGCCTGGCCTACAAGTGAAGTGGCTTTTGTAGCCAAAGAACTACAAGCTTGGCCGATCAAACAGAGAGAAGTAAAAGCGCATTGTGCAGTTTTGCAGGTGGCTGCACCAATTCCCTTGTAACACCTAATGTTGCAACAGCTGAAGGGTCATGTGAGTGTTGGAGCCACGGAAGTGCTAATTTGCGTTTTCACGTGCATACAATCGTGATGCAGCAGCAAAGGTCAGATACTTGTACTCCGACCTTCACATTCACAAAGAGCAAAGGGGTATTGCACTGGAGCAGCTGCAAAAGCTTAACACACTTTCCCGCAATGAGTTTGTCGCAAAGCCACCAAAACAGTTGCTCACACACACCTTTTTTGTCATCCCTTTGTGCTTAGCTTGAGGAATGCTAAATAATCAGGCATGATCACAGCTCAGTCACTATTAAAGCAGCTTAGTTTCCCTTCAGGATTTTAAGTTATGGTATATACTTCAGGCAGCATTGCAAACGGTAATTTGACAATTATGCCAGAAAATTCCTGGAAAAAAATAAAAACACTTCAAGCTAGGTTTGAGGGAATATGCGCAACCTTGTAATGGTTGAGTTCTACGCTCGGGTATTTTCACTGCCAGAGCATTCACGCCTCGTTTTAAGTAGAGCCCTGCATATATGTGGATCCTTCGGGGGTACCTGCAGTAAACTAGCGGATATGGATAAAAATTAATAAGATTTGGCGGATTGCGGATCGGGTGCAAATATCCGAGAGTTTGGATCTACATTTTTGCCGAGGCAGCCCATAGACGTGTCCGACCACACAGTGTAGAGTGAATAAATGAGCGATACCATGAAGTGTATCATTGAATGTATTGCGGGGGCAAACAACTATCAGACAAAAAGTGCCAATCGGGGAGAAAATATTCTTTACGTCAAGAAAGATTTCATTCTCACCAAAAATTGCTTTAGAACATTCAAGAATGAAGTAGTATCAGTCGTCCCGGGAAAAGATGTTCTTGTTTGGTAGGAAAAGAGCGGAAAATGTTTTTTGGGCAAAGAAAACCCAAAGCGTGAAAGCCACAAGAAAGTATCAGAAGCCTCCATGTGACTTTTTCGCCTACAAGTAGATTGAGGAGACTGAAAGAGATCCTTCAGAGCGGTGCAACTTGCGCCAGCACGAGTTTCTGCACCCTATTCTTGTAGCACAGTTCGTGCATGACATCCCAGCATCAAGTGCGCCAACGGAGAAAGATATCTCATTGACGGGTCTTAATTTAAGAGAGGCGAACCAGTCTGAATCCACCCATGTTGACTATACTGTTTTTCCACACAGCAACCTCGACAAGTGAAACGTGAGTGTGTGCGTTTTCTTTTCCTCGACAGTTGGTACAGAGTTGTTTTTAAGTATGTGGTTCCGAGCATGCAGTCGAGGGTTTGTGTTTACATTTGAAACCGACAGGAGGTGTTGCCAATATTGAATTATGTGATATTTTTCCAGTGGTGTATTCGCGCCTTACCAGATATACATGAGTACTTTGCTGTGGTGAGTGATCACCTTTCCTCTCCCCCTTTTTTACTGTTTGGCTTAAATAAAATGGTGCAATGTTACTTAGTCTGTCCTTTGATAATTTTCATATTTATAAAATATGTATCTGCTTGAAGTGTGTTTTACAAATCAAAAAGGAAAATAAATATTAAAATTTTCTTCCTTTTGAGCGCATCTTCTGAACAGAGCATCAGTGTCACGGACCTCCAAGACGTTCTCATAACTGCGATCATCTTTCCAGCGATGCGAAGTGTCTCTGGAACAATGATCACTTATTTTATAGATATGATAAACCAGAATACAATAAACTTACTTTCACTGCACTCTGACACAGAGTTTTTTGTACAAGGGTAGCAGACAGCAATAACCTCCAGGTGCTTTTTTTTTTTTTTTAATTTTAATTCATGCTTTATTTTATAATGTAAAATGAATGCGCGCAATGAGGGTCAGATGCGGTTCCGAATTTTGCGGATGCAGCTAGGATGTGGATACAAAGTTTGCTGATGCGTATTGAATGCGGATACAATTATTTGCGCCTCCTTTGCAGACTTCTCAGCCCTGGCCACCAGCTGCTTATTGATGCGCCCCGCCTCTGTCACCGCACTGGCCGCCTGCAGCCGCTGCATACGCGGACTGAGCGTCACAAGCCTTCATGGCTACCACGTGCTATTGCTTTGTGGCAACAGTTACCGCCGGACCTCACACGACTTTTCCCCCCTGAAGACGACAATATCTTGTCCCTGGTGAAGGCTGCCCAGCGCCTGCACTAGCCTTCAACTTGAACTCTATAACCTTGCGCATGTGTGCGCAGTTCCTGGGTCCCCAGGTTGGGTTGCAAGCCTCCCCGGCATGGGCAGCTATGCCTTTTTGCACCCCTGCATGCCTGGGATATCCTATCCAATCAATGCGAATAAAGTATCAAAGTATCAGTATCAATTTAAGAGCATTCTGGACGTGGTTCGGGTGCGGATACAAAGTCTCCAGATGTGGAATGAATGCGGATGATCAAACTCTTATCCACGCAAAGCTCTAGTTCAAAGTATTTCAGGCTTATGCAGATATCTCTCAAAACATGGCAATTTAGAAAATGGTATATTAGGGCAGCTCCAGTTGAAAACAAAACCAAAATAAATGGCTGGTATCACTTTAGTGGCACGAAATATGATCAGAGCTGAAATACTATTACGTCAAGGTGCCGCATGCTCCACTAAAACCAATTTTAAAGATGCGACCAGCTGCTCTTTAGCAGCTGGCAAGCAGGTTAGCTTTTAGTCAATCAACACTGGGCGACGCATACCGCAGCATTACTGTGACGTCACGTCAAGGTGGTGCGGCAGTTGATTCTGCATGTTGTGCTGCGTATCGCAGCACCACCGTGACGTCATTTCGCGACCATACAGCTGATGATCAGTGTCGCCATCCCTCGCTAGCAAATAGCTTCGGTCTTGCCGTAGACTCCCGAAACCAAACTTTGAGCCGTGATATTTATAAAACTACACGCAATATTGGAAAAAATAAATTATACCTTGCAATTCAGGGACAGTGACTGAGCTGTAAACAGTCACAATTCTAAATTCGAAAATATTGCCCGGATTCGTCCTTAAACATACTCGGTGATTTAAGCACTACAGCTTCTGCAACTTCCTTTCTTTCTCAGACAGCCTAGCAGCTCCAGTTAAAGGAACAAACTGCTATAAACATGCATTGACTAATTCAAGGGGACAAAAACAAAATGCATGCAAAGCAAACACAACTATTACTTTTAATGCAAGTCTGCACTTACTGGAACCATACCAGTCTACTGTGTTCATGATTATTAGAAACGAAAGAAATGTCAAAGCCAGAGGTAGACATACTTTGCATGCGCTGCTTCACTGCCTTGGTAGTTGTCCCTATTCTCGACTACCTTTGTAGTATGAAACCATACCAATCTACGACGCTCATAATTATGATTAGTAATGGGTGAATACACCTTGTCATATTACCCAAACACAAAGGAGGATACTGGGAATGTAGGTAGATGCACTGCATGCAAAGTGAAATTCGTTTTAGGTCTTCACTTCAGAAAAGTTACTGCTGCAGACTTCAAGATGCGCAGCAGGTCTAACTACACTCAGCATGCTCCCACGACGCTTGGGAAATTTAGCAAAAGGTCTATGCGGAGAGCAAGTTCGTCTGCTTCTTGTACAGGGGTTACAAAGATGTCAGAATGCCGAGCTCTTAATGGCCGATTGAAGAAAAAATGGGTAGACCTCAAGGCATTGAGGTCCACCCACTATCCTTCCAATCAAAGCCAATCAGAATTCGGCGTCATACTGACGTCGCCGCAATTCCTGCGGAAGAATTAAGCAAGAAGCAAACGACTTGCACCACGCATTATCAAGGCTTGGGGTAGGTATCCACATGATTAACATTTGGTGCCACTGCACTGGCAGTTGTCCCTACTTCACTCTAGCTCAAAATCACTAGCATGAATGGTGGGAAATTGGTCGAATGCAACGTCACTCTTTCCTCGGTAATAGCCCCAATGCAACGGACGAAGAGCGTCGATGCAAGACATGCATGTTTGCGATCCAGAGGACTGCCTGGAACGCAATTTCTGGTGATAAATACCCTGGAGTTGGGCGGAGAGCGAGTCTCTCTGCTGTTGGCACTTCTCGTGGGACTCCTGCGTTTCTTTGAGCTTGGTGTGCGTGGAGGACAGGAGGAACACCGTGAACATCATGGCGCAGGCGAGGAGCACGTACAGGAACGTACGGGCCTTCGAATTCCTCATGATGACGGCTGTGTTCATGTCGACCTAATTTCACTGCAATCGGAGAAGGCAACACGGTGAGGTGGTGGTGCGCGGCGCAGTGGCACTTCGACAAAGGCATTCGCCCTGCCTCGCTGGCGGCGCAAGACAAGAACCGGAAAGGTCGTTCGAAGAACGAACACACGCGTCGACGTAGCAGGGGATCACGGCCGCGAAGCTCGCGCTTTCCCCGACAGCTCGCGCAGATTGCCACCACTTGTTTTCGGGAGAAATGTCGGTCGAGCGCTCAACACGCTAACTTAAAGTGGAAGGAAAAGGCCTTCGTCCGCGCAAGCAAAACGGCCGATCGCGCAAAAGAAACGAGCCTATTAAACGTAGATTCGGGGTGGAATATACGAAAGAACTCCCCCATAGCTCTAGTAGTTGGCTGAGAAATAAGGGGCGTTCTGCAGCAAAGACAAGTGCGCTACCTCTGTCACGTTGTTTAGTAGAGGAAAGTAGTAACTTGACGCCTAATTTCCTTTCGTTCTCTTAACTTTGACCCAAGAACCAAATCACGGTACCGGCAGAGAAGTATGCCACACTAAACGGCAGTGCCCGCCGACGAGCTCGGCTAAGCGGAACATACAAGAGCAAGCGCTGGGTGCAAGGGGCGTGCGTTAGGCATGGCCGAAAATGCGGCGCCTCGGAGGGGAAAGCTCAAACGCACCATCCCGAAAGCAAAAGGCCTATCGTCCGCCGGTCGGGTGCATCAAATCAATCGTTGGGTAGGCACGGAATTATAGACGCCGCATTTACTACAGTCGTGCCTCGGCATGCTTCGATGAGGGTACCGCACAAGCCAACGTAAACATTTCGTGACGTGGCTGACCGACGCATTGTGGGAATGCGCTGGGGTCGGTTTATTTTGTTTACTTTAGTTACGCACTTCGGGTGTTCTAGTTTGAAGCGTCGTTCAATCAGGAAGGCTTATAGTGCTTGTACTTTCAGTTAAAATATGAATGGGCAATCTGAGATATACAGGCGAGGCTCCAGACTTGAATAGCTCACAATCACAATCGGTTCAAACGGATCGAAGTCGAAGCGCCGTGAAGTGTAGAGCGGCGTAGCTTGTACAATCAAACTGCAATCCGTCCGTTCTTTATTTTAAAATCCGTCACAATCAAGCAAAGGACATTATTTAGAGGGAGCTATTGCTTCGAATGGTGTCTATCACTGCTCAGAGGATTTAAAAGAGCCTGGTGAAACGGTTCAAAAGAGTTTCGAGCTCTAATTAATTCGTACAGGCAGAGCTGATTACGCAATGAACTCTCAGTCGCAAACGGTATCGAACCCCTATTTGTGCAGGTTATAGTAAACCGCAGCGCTCTTACCGATGCGCATAAGCGTGCTGTTAAAACTTTCGAAAACAAAAACGGGAATCCGTCGATCGAGTACCGTCGCGATGTCTGTAACGTGCTTGTCCCCGCCAGCACTCGTACAATGCAGGGAAGCAATCTTCACGGACAACGTGGGCGATTCAACCGAAGCCATCTTTATTTCAATATTTCGACTCAAATATATATTTCACTCTCGTTTCAAAACACGGTTTCAACACAGAAGCAGTTTATGCTTTCGTAAAAAAAAAGTTGTGGAGCTTTTTCAACTTGAATAGTAAATTCTGTCTAAAATGATTGTATCTTCATAAGGCACACGGGCGGCACATATGCACTATTTGGGATGCCATCATTTAAATTCTGATGTGATAATGAGCATTCAATACATGACATCATTTGGCTTTGAACGAACCTGTTAAAATAGAAGGCACTCACGAGGCAGGCGCGGTATTATGCTATATGTGTTGTGATTTTTTTTACACATTCAGAAACAAATGCAACTGTAAGGACAATAAAAAGTATGTTAGTCACAGATGCAAAGCCAAAATGTGTGTTAATAAGTACACCTATAGTGCAACTTCGCAGTTAAGCAAAATCGTCTCTGAGATTAAATAAACATATTCACAATCCAACTTCATGTCATATAGTTTAAAGTGACATAAATAAGAAACACTATATTTACAAACGTCTAAACAAAACAAACAAGAAAGAGATACAATGTGATTGTTGCCACCTGAAATCAAGTTTTCACAGGAACCCAAAAAATGCCATGACGATTCTAAACAATATTTGCAAAACACTTCTCCAGAGGAACACTCTTTCGGTTCCACTGTTACGACAAAAACACCTCTATTGAGCAGCCTATCTCAAGAACATTGTTTGAGAGATGGGGCAGGAAACAATCTTAACATGTGAGGAGTCTTTGAGCACAAAACAATTTGTCATCAAAACCCCAGGTCATGCTATGCTTTGGTGAAGTATTGCTCTGCAGATCGAGGCAAGGCAATAATCGAGCAGCCACCAAACAAATCCTCAATGCATCAGGCTGGCTTGAGCATGAATCGAAAAAACAAAAAGATAGATGCAGTTATTGCTTGTCCTTGGAAACGCCTTTAGGCCTTCCTGGGGGCTTTCGAACCTTCCGACGGAGCCCCACCTTGGGAGACAACCGCTTGGGTGTCGGAACCTGGTGACCCTTTTTCGCCGCAGCAGCACCCTTCTTGCTTGAAGAGGGCTTGGCATCCTTGGCTTCAGGATCACTCTCACCAGCAGCATTGTCTGGCTCCGGAGTTTCCTTTTTCAGCTCTTCAACCTCACCATCTTCCTCTTCCTCAGGAAGACTGTCAAGTTCTGCCAGGGACACAGCATAATTGTGTTCATCTCGCTTGGTTTCGTCTTGGCTGCCATCCTTTTCCGTCTCTTCTTTGATGTCGTCTCCCCGCAGACCCACCATGATTTCGTCAAAGCGATGGTCTTCGTCCGTTCTGTTCTCCCCCACCTTTGCCCCAACAGCAATTGCAGATACCGATGAATCCTCCTCTAGGTTTTCCGGAATGTCCGTGTTGGGAACGGACAGTTTTTCCTCCAAGGGCAACAACTGGTCCGTTTCCTGAGGGGGCCCCATCTCGTCCAGCCGCTCCTCCTTTAAGGGAGCCTCATCTGTCTGGAGTTTGTGTGACAGACGATGCTGCAGCATCTTCACATAGGACAGAAAGATCTTGTGGCACACCGGGCAAGAGAAGGTCATGAAATTTGGCGACGAATGGTTGGCACCTCCTGGCTGGTCCTTGACTGTGCCTGTTTGTGTTCCTATAAGTTCCACCTGTTTCGACTGGTTCCGCAGCAGATTGATGACCGAGTTTTCAATGCGGCCCTTGAAGGACATGCTTGAAGGATTCGATGCATCAGCCCTTTCCAGCGGGGGACGTCCATCATCCGCCTGAGGTGGCTTGGGAGTCAAGGTGGTGGCCTCCTCCGAAGCCCCCTTCTTTGCATTGAGCTTCTTTTTCTTCAGGAGGCAGACCTCACGGAGGTGTTTCCGGAAGTTGGACAGGTATGCAAATGAGTGAAGACAGTAGGGGCACGAGTGTTCTTGAGCAAAGGGTCTTTGGCCTGGCTTCACATCAATATCTGCAACTTCAGAAGCTCGTTCCTCATCTTCTTCTTTCACCTTGGGGACGAGTGCAGACCCCTTGGCGTCGATGCCTTCTCCCAGACATCTAGTTGCCCTGTCATCCAACTCAGATGCCCAGGTCATCTCACTGCCAGTGAGTGGTGTTCGACTTGGGAGAGCACTGTCCATACTAGAGGCATTGGCCAGCAGCTCGAGGCCTCTCGTGTCTGTCTCTTCGCAAAGCATGATAGGGCTCTCAGAGCGACAGCCTAATACTTCCAAAGTTTCCTTCTTCACTGCATAGTCAGTGCTTTCCTGAGATGAGATGCATGGAGCCCGGCGATCAACTGAGCTGCTATCTTTCTTCTGCCCCCGGCCCCCTTTGCGTCGCTTAGTAACCCTCTGGCCTGCAACTTTCTTATTGGGACATATGTCCCTGAGATGCTTCTTGAGACTAGCCAGATAAGTGAAGCTCCTCTTGCAAGTGCTGCAGGTGTGTGAATTCACAAGAGAGGACGAAGATGCATTGGACATGCCACTGGCCGCAGCAGTCTTGCTTCTCAGGATCCTCCTTCCATGGCCAGCAGCGGGGGAGGGTGCACTTTCACCCTCGGTGTAATCGAAGAGGTCAGCTTCCGCTTTGTCTTCTTCCTCTGCTTTTTCTCGCTTTGCTACTGTTTTTTTGCTTCCTGCTGCCACAGTTTTAAGGACCTCCACTCCTTCAATATTCTTCTTTTTGCTTGTTACAGCTGCTTCTTTAGGGAAGTCATCAGTATCATCTTTGACTGACTCCCCAAGACTAGAATGATGCACGTAACCGGGTGAATGTGAAACAGCTGCCTCTTTTCCCACAACCTTAGCCTTAATTACAATTGTCTCTTCCCTTGATTCACCTCCTATGCTGTCCTTTTCTTTGGAGACAGCCTTGAGAATGTCCTCCTGACCAGAGATTACAATAGAATCCTCTCTGTCCTCTGCTGTAGTGGTGCTCTTGCATACCACAACGGAAGCATCTAGATCGTCTTCTTTTTCTGGGGTCTCATTGTCTTCCAGTAGAACCACCTCGGAGACGGAATGCTGGACAGGACTCGAGACACGCATCTTTAAATCCAGTGCACCCTCCTCGCTTTCAAGAGGAGAGCTTTCTTTGCACGGTCGTTTGGGTTCGTTTGTTGGACTGGTACCCACATGAAGTCTCCTCCGCCCTTTCACGTAGGACGGCTTGACAGGGCTGGCGGGCTTTCTTGCTGAACACCCTAAACGGCTGTGGACACTGTGTCCCTTGGTAAGCTGCCTCTGGAAATCGGAGTTGCTGCCACAGTCGAGAATGTGCTGATGAAGGTCCAGACGGGAGGCGAAGTGTGAATGGCACTTGGTGCATTCAAGGCGCTCCTCTGGTGTGCTAGGAGGCACTTCGGATTTTGGACTGCTGGCCACCGCATTGTAGTGAAGGAACCCAACAGGGCTCATGAACTTCCAGCAAAGTTCCGGCGGCACTTCTCTCTCTCCCTCCAACTCCATGTGAGTGCAAAGAACATTGGGGTGGTTGTTGATCTTGTGATCTTCGATGGACTGCAAAGAGCTAAACTTCTCGGTGCAAACCAAACAGATAAAAGTCACAGGCACATGGCGTCCAATCACGGTGTCTTTGGGCTTTGGCTGGACGACACCATTGGCCCTCTGTTCTTGGGTGTCCCGCTGCTGGATGTCGCCAACAAAAAGGCACTCTGTCTCGTCGCTGTTCTCTGAGCCATCGTTGGATATGGGGTTGCTGCCAGAAGAAGGCACACGATTGGAGTAGATCTGCATCATCTGAGTAATGTCGAAGGCTGCCGGGAAGTTGTGCATGCTCCACTGGACGTTGGCCTTGGGGCTTTTTTCTTCAGGAAAGGCACACTCGTCCTGTCTAATCTTGAGCTGCGAGGACTTGCCATCCAGGTGGTAGAGCAAATTCTCAGAGATGCGGTGAGCAATCGTCGTGTAGAACTCTTCCTCGGACATCTCTTTCACGACTGGCTTCGTCCGGGAACGCATGTTCACAGGCTCTTTGCGCAGCTGCAGGGACCGCGTGCGTCTCTCCTGCTGGACCGACGCATGAGCAGCCTTCTTGTGGCGGCACATGTTGAGGTATGTTGCAAACCGTCTCTTGCAGATGCTGCAAGAGTACTTGAGCTCTGAGTCAAAATTCTTACCACGCTTGCCCTTAAACACAGCCCTCGAGTCTGACACCTTGCACTTCTTGGGGGGCAGTTCATCCTCATCCACCCGGTGGATTCGCGAGTGCTGCTCTAGCTGCTGCTTTTCTAGAAAGAACCGGGGACAAAGATTGCACAGATGTAGACGTTCAAAGTGTAGCTTCTTTAGATGCTTCTGGAGGTGAACGCCATGCATGAAGGTCGCAGCACACAGCTTGCAAGGGTAGGGCAAGTTCAGATTCTCGTGAATTTTTTCGTGTCTTTTCTGGTTGGCCAGCGACGGGAAGCTCTTACCACAGTGCCGGCAAAGATACTGCTTCTCGGTGGAGTGGACGGACTGGTGCCGAACCAAGTTTTGCCTGTGAGAGAAGGTCATCTCGCAGTGGCCGCAGCTGAGGCCTTTCTGAACGTTGTCCTCGGCATGAGTGCTCACATGGGTCTTGAGCTCATCGCGGGTGTCAAACAGTGTCGAGCACAGATGACAGCGGTACAGGCCAAGCGACCTCGCATCTCCACCTTCCTTGCACTCAGCCATCCGCCCCTCTGTTTCCTCACGTAGCTGGCGCACCAGGTTGAGATTGATGTTGCAGTTTGTGATGTCTGCTTCGGACAAGTATCGGTAGTTGATGTGCGTCCTGAGAAAGTGTCTCTTGAGACTGAAGGCATGCTGGTACGTGCCTGTGCACACGTCACACTTGTACTGCTTCTTCCCCTGTCGTGCATTCACTATGTGGAAGCTCTGGATCTGGAACTGGAACTCTCCATTACGAACCTCCAGCTGTTGTTCCCCGCGAGCCTTGTCTTGTCCGTCCTCCTCGATATCCGTGTTGTCGTCGTCGTCTTCGTCGCTCGACCCATTCGGCATGGCGACGCCCTCCTTGTTGTTGCCCGCGACTGACTCGCTGAGAGGCGACACTGGGGAATTGTCCCCTTCCTCGGTCTTGAGGCTCTGTTCGGAGGAGTCATCATTTCCAGCTGCATCATCCTCTTCCTCTTGTCCCATAGATCCCTTGACCTGCTCTACCTCCATGTTGGTCTGCATGGCATCTTGAGACTATTCACCTGCAAATTAAAGAATATATGCTCTGGTCACTGTACACAACGTCATATTTCTTAGTAACAATAAGATAATTTAGTCCAAGTACTACATATAGAAACAGTGGATCACACTGATCCACCGTGTTTTTTTATTGGGTCATCACTGACCCACGCAAACAAATAAAGTCATTTGCTTGGTGCACCAAGCAGATGACACTATAAAGTTATTTGCGAATTATGCCCGACTCACAGGGTGCGATTTTACTTGCGATTATTCAGTTGCGACGTCGCTCGTGCGGCAGAAAGTATTGTGGAAGCTGCGGTGGCTGACGTTACACTTGCGAATTTGCAAGCATTCTTATCTGAATCATGCGCCTGTTTCCACGGGGTCGAACATCTCAGCCAGGTTTACGGCTGCAACGTTGGTAACTCAAAAACTATGCGAAGCATAGGGGACACAATTTCTTCACTCCTCGGGAGATTTATTCAAAAGGGTATATTCCGCGAAAAATAAATATGTGAAGCAATTAATACTTAGTCTCACATACGAAGCGCCGCTGCAGATGCTGTGTCACTCATTTAACCCATATTCTCCAATGCAAAGACGGAGAAAACAAGGCCACGAAAACGACATTTCCGCGTAATAAAAGACACCTCGATCGTTGATCGCGCGCACTGCCAGTTTAGTAAAAAAATAAATAAAAAAATCGCGTTAGCAAAAAAAAAAAAAAGAAAACGGCGCAAACAACGTCAAACAAAACAACGGCAAAACTAAAAAAAAAGAGAAAAAAAAAGAATCACCACGAAAAGAAAAAAAAAAAAAAAGCCGTTATCGGCAAAAAGCACGCCGCGGTCAGGTAACACGACCTGCGTGCGCGCAACTTAACTGCCTACCGCGGATGCTAGACCCCTCGACGAAAACAAGCGCCAGACGCAGCACCTCGGGGGCATCACTTGCGACCAGCGCTGCTCTTCGACCCACGAGCGGAGAGAAGAAGGAACTAGGTTCCTAGGAGGAGCTCCGCAAACGCCTTCTCCATTATCAGCAATTGAATCACAGCCCATCGCAAAATGGTTGCTAGACTCGCACGAGACACCCCTGTGAAACATATCTTCGTGCGCGAATGTTGAGAAGCTAAAAAGAAAAAAAGACGGTTAAACAATGTTTTAATCTCTAAAGTTGGGACTCGCCGAGCTTGGGAACCAATCTAGAGATGGGGTAGCCTACTTACGATAAGTCACGTTGACGTTTCCAAATCGTTTTTTTCCGAACGCCGACTGTAGCACTCCAGCGCCTACAAACTAGCTTTCTCGCTGACAAACACTACACGTTGGGTTAAGAACGAATCGCCGACTATTCCCGTGTCGATGACAAGCATCGAGGGGCGCTACTCCGACGATACAGGTTCCCCGTTGGAACAGTTGGAAGCATCGGCCATTACACCGAAGCCAAACAGCCTGTTTCCTTTAGATCAGAGTCAAGGTTCGACGCGTCCTCGGGACTAAACTTGGACGCCGTGTCGCGTAAAACGTAGCCGGCATCTTTCCGTAATCGTGGCAACTCACTCTCGACGAGTCGACAGGAAGAATTGGGTTCGAAACGGGGCCCGAAACGCGAAAAGGACTTGCCACTTGTTGCAGAGGAAAAGCTACAACGGCGAGTTGGGCTTCACGGCGCAGCATTTCGAATCAACTCACCAAGGCAGCCGGGGTGGTGGGAGTCTGGCCGCCTGCACGTCCCTTCTCCGCGTTGCTCGGTTGTCGCGCGAGTCACATCGTGCACGTTCTTTCGAGTCCGTTCAAAAGTCGGATCCCCGATGAATCGAATAGAGAACGAAAGAAACCAACCCGTTTCCGAAGCGGGACAGGCGTGAACCCGCACAGCGTTCCGACACATACGCCAGAGAGAGCGCAGAGAAAAAAATTATCCAATGAGATGGCGTCTGTGCGGACCGCATGCCGGGTCGAGTCCACTTGCAGCGGCTCGCGGGGGGAGGGAGGGTGCCGTGTCCTCCTCCATTGCGTGCGTGCGCGCGGTAGCAGCGCGGCGTCAGTAGCGTCGACGGCGTCAGGAACCAGGGTAAAAGGAAATCATTTCGACCGCAAACAACCGAGCCGATGTGCGGCCCCCAGATTTTTGAGACGGCAACCTTCACTCCTGCGAGCTTCGGACTCGAGGTCTCTTCGTCAGGTGCAGAAGTGGGGATGCGGGCGTGTTTCTCATCCGTCGCAACCGTACCAACTCGTACGTCGTTTTCGTGCTAGACTCAGTCCGATGGAGTCACACGGTCACACATCGACGAGTTATTTTTTTTTTTTCTGCGCATATTTAACGCTAGCTTTGAAATCCGATTGGGCGTTATCGTCGCTTCTTCGTATTGTGTAAAAAGAAGTTGCGATATGTTACGGGCTAAATGCGCTGTCGCGCAGTTCTTTTGTTGTCCGGTTTGGAAGCGTGATTTTGGTTCTTGCTCCCTCCTCTCCGTCTCTCTCGATCTCTTTTTCGTTCCCTCGCTCGGCCTTAATTCGTTTCATCCCACGAGAAGTGGAACGGTCAAATATATGTCTTCGCAAGAGTCGGCCAACGAGTTCTGACGGCGTAAGACTAGGTGCGCGCAATTAAAGTTCTTGCTGCGTTTTGTAAGGTTATAAATAAAATAAAACTGGCGTTAAAAAAAAAAAAAAAAGAAACACGCAATCTGTTGTTATTTTATTTATGTTGTTAAAGAAATTATTATTATTATTATTATTCCGGGAACGAGACCATGCATTCTCGTCCTTCTCGCCGGCATAAGATATTAACGTCATTGTCACGTGACCGACTGGTTCGCGGAGAGCAGAAAATCATAAATCTTATCGTACTCATTGCTTTCCTAAAAAAAAAAAAATTACGAGCGCATGCATACAAGGGTTGCACTATCCCGTGCCTTTGAGCGTCGTTGATGAACCAAAACATTTCATTTGTCCATTTAGTTAGATGAGATTAAGACTTTTTCATCGCCGCCACAACGGACAAGCCAAAACACGCTTTATTTTCTATCAAGCCCCCTTTCATTCCCTTTCTCTCTCTTCTCCATGCGCATCTCGGGGAGAGAGATAGAGGGGGGGGGGGGGGGGGTATAACGATTTCAACACATCGAGCAGAAAATAATAATAGTAATAACAATCGTACAATTCAGTGTTGGCATCGCGCATTAACAATGGCAAACAATCCTGTATTCTACCACCCTGACTGTCATATATGAGCGCGCAATATCTCCCGCGAAAAAAAAATATAACGGAACAAAACAAAAATAATCTTTATAACCTTGGATGTTTCACAGACGAGTTGTCTCAAGACACACACATCTGCGTGCGTGTGCGCGGTTCCATACAACACCGCGTTTTTGTATACGATAGAACAATAACTATATGCGGGAAGGCTACCGTCTATTAATTAAAGAGAAAACGAGAAACCGCCACCGCCATGTACAACGCTCTAATAAACACCAACCAAAAAAAAACAAAAAAAAAAAACAAGTTTTACGCGGTCTACCGTGACCTTTCGCGCGTTCTCGCTGCTCGTGACGTCACCAACAGTTACGCTGCCAGCGCGTAACTGTAATTGGCGAACGTCGTGGTCTTCGTTCGCCAATAGAGAGCGAGCTTTGCAACTTTCTTTGCTTTCTTTTACTTTGTATTGGAGAGGGGGGAGAGATGTAGACGTTTGCGGGCTCAACACTGCACGACGCAGGGGTTAAGAAACTTGGAGGAAACTGCGAATCCTATCGTACGTTCGATGCGGAGGAAACGTCACAAACAAAGGAAAACGCGTATGAAAAGCGCTGACCCTGGCGATAAGTCAAGGCGATATCGCGCGGAAAATGTCCGCGTTGAACCCGGCCCGTATCATTGACGACGGAGTGCACGCGCTTGACAATATCGCCAGCGTTCCCGAAAACGCGACGCTTTCTGTTCAGAACGGACCAGAAAAGCTGTCTCCGGAGTAGTTTGCTTTAGGTCCTCCGGATAAGAAAACGCGTACGAAAGTTATAAGCGTCTGCGATTATTCTATGCACGCGGCACTCCATGGCGCGAATTTTACATGTTTTTTCGGAGTTCATTTTTTCCCCTGCAACTTAGGTATATATTGGAGTTTAATGAGGCCATTATTGGTGTGTGGTTTTATTAAACTTTCAATCATGGATAATGTCAAATATTAAGTATCTAAATGCAAACAAATTTATATGCAAACGCAAAAAAAAAAAAAAACACGTTTAAGACGTTTTAATTAATATTTATAAATAAAAAAAGAATATTTGCTATTAATCAGAAGGATCATAAAACAAACCGAAACAAGCCGTCAGACAGGGAGAAATGTGTTATTTTGTTGGACCTTGATTGATGTGCTCGTCCTTGTCTTAGGGACAATATCATTATAGACTGAGCAGTTGTCCTGAGCGGGCGTTGACGATAAAACCCCCTTTGTCAATCCTCCGAGGTTAGAAGGGAGGCTTTTCATGTCCCCTACTGACCTGGCGCTCTACCAAGACCAAAATAAAATGATCCTATTTTTTTCTTCACTTTTTTTTTTATTGTCAAAGTGATTGTCAATAAACACATTTTTTGTATTGAAGTTTTACTTTTCTTTTGTTTTTTATCTGGCAACACGGAACACCATAGTCTGTTGCAGATAGTTGCAGGTTAAGAACAGCAGCACAAGCTTCTCTCCCAAAGCCCGCCCCTCTTTCCACTTCAGCAGAGCGAAGGCTGGAGAGGAGGCGAGTGGAGAGGAGGGAACCACCAATTGCGGCGAGTAGAGGGCTTTGGGGGAAGGATTTCTCACGCTATTCTAAGCCTGCAACATACTATAGACATGTCATGATCCGGTTTCTCAGAGCCAAGGTGAACTGGCGCGATGAAGCTAATAAATGCCGCAAACATGAAGCGTACCTTTGCAACATTGCGAGGAGTCGAACATCATGCAAGAGTCATGGGACACTATCAGCGATGTGCGCGACCAAAAGCGTCGCTGCGGTCAGCTTTCCACGATTGGCCAAACCATGGGCATATGAGCATTGTCATATTGTCAACTTTGACGTTGTTAGTTTCGGATTGCGATGGCTCCTAGCTTCCACTGTGCTTTTTAAACACACCACCGAACTCGTCGTCGCACCTGATGGTAAGTAGCCAGAATAACACCTGGTGACGTCACGGCGAGGTAAATCCCAGTCGTGACGTCACGGATGGAAACCATAAGAGGGCGCCACCGAAACATCTCGGCGCTAATACTGTAAGATGTTGCCCCTACTTCGCTATTTTAAACGCGCGTTGTTTGCAATCGCATCTAAGGGAAACGCTGAATTAATTTTTTGCTGAATTTTACGCATAAGTTTCGTGAGTCATTTACTCTTTCTTTGTCTCTCGCGTAAACTAAAAAAAAAAAAGTATTTTCTTTTTTGCTTATAGTTTTTCTTCTAAAATATTTCGTCAAAAATTTGCATCTGTTGAATTGATATCGACATCGTACCGCGTCACGCCGTCTAATCATTAAAAAAAAAATGCGAGCGGAGTGAAAAAGATTGAATTAAAACAATGCATGTGTGAAAAAAAAAAAGCTTATGTGCGTTAAAATGCATTTTAAAGCAAAAGTCTTAAACAAATAAAATACAGTTCTACTAGGATGCCTCGATTGTTTCCTGGCTGTATTTACAAGTTCAACTAAGAAATCTAGTAAAAAATAAATATTTCAAAACTTCACCAGATAAATGTGAGCTGTCTCTCTTTCAAATAATAATAATAATAATGATAATAATAATAATTTCAGAAATATTCAATGACGCAGTACAAGTACGGGTCTGTCCAAGACGCATGTAAGTACACACGCAGGCTTGTGAGACAGGACTCGACCGGTAGGTCCATTGACGAAGACCCCGCAAGTGCCCCCCCTGCCCCTCTCTCCTGGCCACGGCACCGGTGCAAAGTTAACAGAAATGAAAGAGAAAAGAAATAATAAGCAGTAACAAACACTACGGCAACACGAGTTGCACGATAACCCTAAAGTGCAAAATCAGTGTAATGGTACTAAAGTGTCGAATTAGTCAGCATTTCCTTTAACTTCCTCCAACTGGCCCTCGCACTCCGGAAGTTTATTAATTTAAAGACGAAGAATGCATTGTACCATCAAACCTTTTTTTGCCGTAACGCATAACACAGCGGGGGATCTTCAAACGATGCAGCGAAGATTCCCGTGAGGTAAAAAGGAGCGCTTAAAATTACTACTCCAGTAGTAACGAAGCACTACATTGAGCACTAAAAGGCCGGGAAACGTTTGGCACCCGTAGAGCTTCAAAGTTATTAAATTCAGATGCAAGGTGACAATGTAATTCCATACATAATTGTATGCTTGGCAAAGGGCATGTGCGATCTATTTTCTTACAAAGAACGGCAAATACTTTATGGTTATAACTTATAAAGTATGCAGCTAACATTCCGAAGCTTTCGATAATAATAATAATAATAATAATAATAATAATAATAATAATAATAATAATAATAATAATAATAATAATAATAATAATAATAATAAACGTTTTGATTCAAGTGCCAAGGAACCATTCTTGTGGTCTCAGTACGGGTGCACTCAGTCAGGAATAACACTATGCAAAAAATGATAATAATAATAATAAACATTTTCTGAATAACCCAATGAAATGCGAATGCCGCATTCCATTAAGTTATTTTCCCTTTTTTATTTGGTATAATATGATTACATTAGAAGTATTGTTTTTCCACTATTTGTAGATTAAAACTAACGCTATATGGGGTAATATACAACAAAGCTAAGAATGCCTATAAGAGAACTTTCATATCGAACCTTTCTGGGTGACTTTTTTTTTACTCCGTGGAACTATGAACCAACGCACGACTCTGACGTCACACCGCTGCGGTGGCGCTGCTGTCGGCGCGGCGCATGCGCAAACGCTTCCCTTGAGGCAAATCTGGTTTCTGCGCACGTGCACTGCACACACATGCGGCCAAACGCGGGTTGCTTGTTTGTAAACGGCGCCTTCATGTGTATACCGTAAAGAAAATTGGGGAATTTTAGTGGACCGATTCCACAGCTCGCTAAGCACCCGCATAGCGCTCCGTAATCCGCCACAAGACCTTGAACTAAGCAGACAAGGCTGGCAATTCGCTAGCGCAGCTGGGACATTTTCTTTACGGATACCGTAGCGGAGGAGAAAAAACGATCTACTACAACCCCCTATTATGTGCAGATTCTCGGTAAATTTCAGGCGTCTATCAGACCGCCTATAAATACCCTAGAATCTTTTTGGGCCAGCAAAACATGCGCTTGCAAACGTTCACGTGAGCACCTATATTACGATGGCTGCTTATGACCCGCATTCACTAAATGTCTAACCGATTAATAAATGAATGGATCATATATTAAAATTATTGATAGGTTATATATTAAAATGATTCATAGATCATAGAATAATATAGCAATAGTAATAGTAGTAGTAATCTTTAATAGCTAATTCTTAGAGTCAGGATCAAGTTCCAGGTCTTGTCAAAGCCTCAAGGGCTTGTGGGACTAGACCCAGCAGTTGCAGCAAGCTTATTGAAAATGTTCACATTGTCACGTACACACACTCACACACACACACGTACAAACACGAATCACACACCGATGACATCTTCTGCTCCAGGCGCAAGTTCACATTTCTGTCGGTCTTGAAAAAGTGCAGGAAAACACGTAGTCTCATCAGAAAATAAACGCACACATACGCAAATACAGTAGCCCGAGAATACAATGAAGACCGTAGTCGTATCGGAAGCAGGAGCGAACTGCCAAGGCCAACTTATTTCCTCAAAAAAAAAAAAAAAAAAAAAAAGGACGCGCGCGTTTTTTTGCAGTATTGCTTTTCTTAATAATGGATCAAGCTATTGTTATATTCTACTAATATGTATATATAAGATTATATGTGAATTAATTCATGGATACACACAGTATACTAATAGAAAACAATCAATATAATTTAGTATATTTAGCAATTAATAGGTGAAATATTAAAATATTAACATATTTAATATTAATTAATATTAAAATATTATTAGCTTAGCTAATAATAGATTGCGTATTAAAGGATTATTAAATTATATAATAATATATTACCACATTATATATTATATGATTATACACGAAACAATCAATACATTATATATTAGTTTGTATATCTGTTAATAGATTATATGATTAATAGATTATCTATCAATACATTAATATATTATATCATAAATATTAATAAATCATTTGACTACGTATTAATAGATTATACAATAAAATGTTAATATATTACATAATATATTAATTTCTTGTACGTTCATTTACTAAACCGGGCGAGAGAAGCTAGCTATCGCAACCTAGATTTCTAAGGAAGGAAAATACAGACGGGTTAGTTCATTTATAGAATGGTTAGAGTACTTCAAACTTTAACCAGTAAAAAAAAATTAAGCAAGAAAAAAAAAAAAAAAAAGTCCCGTACAGAAAAAAAAAATGCTCAGATAATTAACCAAGGATTAATTACTGGTAGTGTTTAATCACCGCGAAGAACCCGGTCGATAGCACGTACTCGAACGAGATCAGCGACTCGAACAAACAAGCGGAAACGTAGAAAACCATCTGCCGTTCATTAGGTGCAATGTGCCGGAAATATTTTATAATTATTTTTTCTTAATATTTAGTGTCAACCAGTCTATTAAATTTATAAGTCTCAATTTATCTAGCTGCGAATGCAGACGACGCGAAAATCGCTTCGAGAATAAGAGTGACGGTTCTAAACATAGCAAATAAAAAGAGCGCGTGTAATTCCCGTAAGGGTACTTCACGCATTGCCTTCGAGTTGTGCGGGAAAGCCCGCCGTCAGAAACGCTCTGGTAAAAGGTCAAGCACTGTTGAGTTGTTTGAACTTGGGCGTGCTGCTCCAGTGTTTAAAACGTGATCATTTGACGGTTTATCTATGTCTTGAATTTAGCGTACAATTTGAACTAATAAAGGTGTTCTTTGTATTACATATTTTGCGACACAACCTCACAACCTTTACGGCACGTTTTTTTTTTTTTTATGCTTTTTTTGTTGACGATGGTTTCTACAAAAACGATCATACGTTAAATTAAAAAATTTCATAGAGGAGTTATTTTTCTCTTTAACATATCTTCGAGTTTTATGTCATTAGTTATAAAATATGAAATGGTACTAAAAAATAAACCTCGGTACTATCGACGCCGACACCATTTTTGTCTGGCGGCCCTGGCGGCGGTCGCGGCAACTACCACAAAACACAAGCGACACAGGGGAACTGGGGGAACTGAAGGAAACCCGTGATCGTCAAGAAGAATGGACGAACGTATACGAGGTCCGTGAATTTCTTTCCTTTGATACTTTGCCGTTCGTTGCGTTTATCCGGAGCACCGTTTGGTCTCGTTGTGTCTTACTCTTCGCACGTAAGTAACGATGACGAGCCACATTCAAGATGTGAAGCCGTTGCCCCACCACGCTAGAAAATCGGTCTGCGGTAGCCGAGCGTCGTACCGCCAAGGTAGAAAAGCAACCGCCGTCAAAGTTTACACGATCAACCAGGAATCGCGCTACTTGCTCATCAGCAACGTGAACGCCGTCGGAGCCGCCGAAGACCTCAAAGACGCCTGCCTCGAGTACGGCGACATCGCCGACTACCACGCCGTGGACGGCTACGAGACGGAGCAGTTCACGGAATCCTACCTCGTCAAGTACGTCCGAATCCAGTCGGCGCGGATCGCCAAGAAAAAGCTGGACGAGAGATCGTTTTTCGGTGCCGTGCTGCACGTCTTCTACGCCCCCGAGTTTGAAACCGTCCAGGAAACGCGCGGAAAATTAGAGGACCGCCGCCGGTACGTCGCTTTCAAGACGGGCCAGTCCTTCAAACCTCGCGGCGGGGGTGCTCGAGATTGCAAGAGACGTCGCGACGACCACGCCGACCGGCGAATTTCAGCACACGATGTTCAGACTACCGAAACGCCAGCCGTTTCGTCGTACATTTGGGCCGGCCAAGAGTATCCCTTGGTGCCTTCGGGCCACACGACGTCGTACAGCGACTGTTGGCAGGCGACGGCGCCGTTGAACGCTCTCTACAACGACCAGCCGCTCTGTTTCAACCAGCCTCCCAGGCCGACCCAGGAAGCGGCCGCCGAGGAACCCGTGACGGAGGAGGCGGGGCCAAAGAAGCAGACTTCACACGAACTCGCCACCGACGCCTACGAGAGGACAATCTCGCTTATACGAGACAGGGTGAAAGGGGTGTCGGTGCCCAATACGGACGTGCTGTTGAGGAAGCGAAAGTTGTAGTTGAATAAACCCAATTGCTTGGTTTTTCCCTTGGCATTCGTTGGTGGTTGGGGTATTTGGATGCTCACCACTCTTGCAGCAAAGCCGTGAGCACCGTTGGAGGGTTTGGTAAACTGCTGTCGTAACGCCTCGAATATAAGGAGCCCCCCGAATGTCAGTACACCCATTGTCAGTCTGGAGATCGGTGGCGAAACTGTGCACGACATTGTGATGCTACGCAATCAAGTATTGGTGACTGCATGTGTAAATGCGCCGCAGAATGGCATACTCGGAGATGTCAGGTTCAATTGCTGCCACTTAGTTTCACTGTGGACAGGCGTTGTGCCGGTGTTTGCTTGTGTAATCACTACTACAAAATGCATGTTGGAAGACCCCCAAGGTATTGTGTGCTGTCGAAATTTTCCCTCCGCAATGAAGACGCAACATATGTTTTAAGGCGCAGACTGCCTTTCCGCTAGGGCAGCTAGGGGAATACAACAGTTTTTTTTTAGTCGGAGAAGCAACAAATTGCCCTGTTGGCACCCACTGCGACGAGGGCCGTCTTTTGTTGCTTGACGAGATGGACCCGTTCGGCAATGGGAAAATATTACCCCAGAAAGAAGGCTGGCAACGCCAAAGTTGCCATGGCATGTCATAGGTGGCGTCACTCTAATTGTTTTTGCTCAAGTACAAGTAGTAATGTCTGTCACTTCCACTATTCTACAAATTTCTCCTGGTACTCCAGCAGAGGACACCCTCGTGAAGATCATCTGTCTAGGCAATATGGATGACATCAACTCTCTATTACTTTAGTACTTAAAAAAACTTAAAAAAGGCGAGCTTGACATTGCCCGAGATTTTCTATTTGCAAACACTCGGCAACAAGGGCAACGGGTGTAACTTGCCATCTGCAAATATTTTGGTCAATAATAATGCTATATAATATCAAATCAAATGAACATTAATTCACCTTTTAATATAGCTGGAGCTTGGACACTAAGGCAGATTTTATCACAGTATGCCCCATAGCCAGGTGGGGGTACTATGCTTGCAGGTACTTGCTTGCTTGCCAGGTTTGCGTGAGGTGGAGTGTCTTCACATGTGCCACCGCGGGTGTGCGACGTTGTAGCCACATATCAATCTTTAGCCAACTTAGTCGCTGCTGATCTCGTGCACACATTGACCTTCCACAACACTTCTAGCATGAATTTCAGTTCATCGAGAGTTGCGTTCCTGGCATAAGAGTGAGGTAAACCGTGGCAGCCAGAGGAATAATGTCACAGTGTCATTGGCAGCCTACAAGTCTTATGCCGAGGGTTGACTGGCCCTGTTAAGACAATCGTTAAGTTCTGGTTGACTAATGTTCGCAGCAAAATATGTGGTGAATGCAGAATTGCCCGTTCCATGGCTGTTTTTGTGAGAAAGGTAAGAGGAAAACCAAGTGGCCTTTTCCTCTTAAGTTTGGTTAGAAGAGGAATGACACTTCATCTGGGCATGACAAAACGAGTGCTGTGCAACACTTGGAGACATACGAAGCACACACCCTGATAGAGGCATCCTTACCCTCCTTTAAAAAAAATGAAAAAAAACAAGAAAAGTAACTTATCTGGGACAGCAAGCATAATCATGATTTTGACGATCACCTCATGCAGCACCACGAAAACACCGGTTTCCAACCCTCTGCAACTCTGACTGACCTTCGAATTGGGAGATAGAACATTTTATTTCTTGAATTGCTCGGTGAGAATGAAGCTGCTGGCTAGAAGCTATTGTGTATAATCATGTTCGGGGTGTGGCAGGAAATAAAGACGGGAGCACAACACGGCAAGTTGTAAGCATTGAAATTGATGGTCCTGGGAGAAAACGAGAGAAGGGCAGAACAAGAAAGCAGACAATAGGTCGGGCATGTTTGTTCTGCTTTGACGACTTACACTTGTTCGAGCGCTTGTCAACGTCATTTCTTTTTATAAAAATGCGCGTTGCCATCGTTTCTTACCACATACAAAATGAAGCTAGATAAACAATACGTAGAGACATTGCCGAGTGGTATTTTCTTGCTTCTCTGCGTATATTAAAGCGTCGCCAGTGATCTGGACCCGTCGGGATCACCGATCGGTCCATTTGACCCTTTTACAAAGGTGGCATTTGATGCCGTTAAAATAGTGGCAGACAAAGCCCATGAATACATGGAGCTGAATGGCACAAACTACCAGGAACGGGCCCCATTTTCCCATTGAAGGTTTCAGAAAACCACTTATAACGTTTGATTAAGATAACGGTTAGCCCTGAAACTTTGGCATCTGGTTCGGACCGCTAGCGATGCGTTTGGGCGAAAACTGAGCATTCGGCGATGAATATTTTACGTTAGCGGTGAAAAAAACGCTGGACATTTCTTTTGGAGACACACTAGCACTTACGAAACCACGCTTAAGAGTCTTTTCATTGCCCCTTTAATATCGTGCTGCGAGCCAACAAGTTTTATGTCCCAAAAGATGCACTTGAATTGACGAAGATCGTGAAACTTTACTGACGCGGCGCCGCTCTGTTCCTAGGGACGCCGATGGAGTGCGTGACTGCCGACAGGTCGGAGCAGGTTGTCCACCTGGTGGGAGACATGCCTCCGAGCAAGATGCCCCGTGTCGACCTCATAGCGCTCGCCCAACAGATCGAGACGGTAAGGCACGGACTAGGGCCACCAAATAGGCTATGCTTCGGAGTAAGTCCACTTCAGCCACTTTGGCGCTCAAAATCATTGTTGCCAGTCATCCGAAGCTTTATTTGAAATCGCAGGAAACACTTTTTTGTCTTCCAGGAATGTCAGAATTACGAAGCTCGGGCGAAGCCGCCCGAGCTTTGCGACATCATTATCTGAAGCATGGAAAATTGCTCTTTTTAATAGTAACAATCTCCGGTTTCGCCCACTTTGTAGTAGGTAACAAAATGGTGGCAATCGCAAGATGGTCAGGAAGTTCTGGGTGTCCCAAATAGCGACCAGGCTCTTTAAATCGAGCGCAAAATTCGGTTTCTTAACTTGTCGCGCTATGATTTTGTGCAGCGTTGAGATGGTGCATTTTTTTGCAAAATTTGCAAAGAGCGAACTGACTAGAGGAAAAAGTAAAAAAAAGAAAAAGGGTTAACTCCTATGAGAACGCAGCGAAGCCACCGGTCTTCAAACAGTAGGGCGCCCTATGGTTTGAAGACCGGTGGCTTCACTGCGTTTCCATAGGAGCTAAGCCCTTTTCTTTCTTTACTTTTTCCTCAGGTGAGTTCATGCTTTGCAACTTTTACCAAAAAAATGCACCATCTGTGGGCAACGCTGCACAAAATCGTAGCACGATAAGTTAAGAAACCGAATTTTGCAGTCAATTTAAAGAGCCTAACCGCTATTTGGGACACCCGGCAGAGTGTCGATACTCTAAGCATATTTAGGGGCTCGCACCAGATCGTTCGAGATGAAACGAAGCGTGGGGTCTCGATGAAAGTAATTCAGATTCGAAGGTATGTTCGCACAGGGAGGGAACCACGTGGAACGTGAAGGTCTTCTGTTTTTGAAGTCGGGCAACAAGGACGAAACCCGAGATCGTTGTGAAGTTTCCGAGAGGTAGGTACGCCGTTCGGGGATCTTCAACATTCAGCTGTGGTGTAGGGGGCATGCGACTGCAGTCAATAGCTTCGTTCAATTTTCCAGCACCTCCTGCACTGGTGCAGAAAAGTGTATCGCAATGTGCTTCCGGTATGTGTATTGAGATACGACCGGAAGTGCACCTCCTGCACCGGTGCAGGTAAGTCAAATGAAGCTAGTAATGTCGGAAGTGCGCGAGGGATGGGGGATGATGGGAGGAGGAGGAGGGATTTTTCCCTCCCCTTTCCCAGGGCTGTTTACTACCGTATAAACTTGTGTAAGGGCCGCACTATTTTTTCACGATTTGAGGGAAAATTTTCGAAGTGCGGCTCATACACGGATAAAATAAAAAAACATATCTGTATCCACATTCCAAAATGAACGTACGTGAGCGGCTGCACTGGTTGGAAACGCCTTCACCCCGGAATCCGGACTCAATCGTCAGTCAGATTTAATTAGTTTACATACTGCGCAATATTGCCATACTTAATAGCATGCGCGGCAACTTTTGACTTGAATCCCGTATGACTGTTGAAGTGGTACTTGCCCATAACTCTCAGATTGTGCCAAAAGGCAGACAAATCTTGACGCTTTGACATGAATCGAAGAACAAAAGGAAACCTCCCCAGAGCGTACAGTGGCGTTTGGAAACCTGAGTGCACGCGCGAGCCAAGCCCGCTGAATCCTGGTTCCTCGCGCTTGCCAAGGAAGCTGACATATCCTTTATCTTTTCTCAATGCTCTGCCGCAACAGAAACGCATCCCGACAGTGCGGCCGACCACGATCGAAGTCGACAGCCATTATGCCATACGGTGATACGGATGAGTGGAGAGCAAATATCGGAGATGCGGACACGTGCCGCTACGTGCTCGGGCGGTGGCTAGCGCCACCTAGCGATACATATTCATAGAAACGTGGCATTACAGTTGGTGCACCTCAAAAACAAGGGGGTGCGGTGCATACGCGAATAATTTCTGTAATTTTTTTTTCCAATACTTTGTCCTAAATACAGGGGTGCGGCCCTTACACGGGTGCAGCCCTTACACGGGGTTATACGGTATATTCCGCTGCAGGTCTAGAATAGTGAGACAAGCCCATGCCGCCCATGCCACAAAGCTCTTTGCTCGCCGCGATTGCTTGTTTCCTCCTCTCCGCTCGCCTCCTCTTCAGTGTCCGCTCTGCTAAAGTGGAAGTGTCTAGAGTGCCTGAGGGGCAACTCCCTTGTTCTGACGATGCTAACTGCAATTTAGTTTCAAGCAAAACACAGCCTGTTTGGAGTGGGTATGAACTGCTGTCAAACACAAACCTCTTGGGTTTTTGCTCTTTCCATCAACATAGCCATATACCATGTTGTAGTCATCATGTCGAGGCGGTCGGAACAAAAGCACTGTGATAGGAGCATGTATATACAAAAAAGTTTAGTATGCGAAGATTCTTGTTAAAAACGTTTCATGCAATCAGTCTATCGAGTGTTGAATGACACATGCGAGGCCGGAATGGGGTTCAGTTGTCTAAATCTGCGACTGTGAGCTGAAACACTCAACAGAAAAAAGGGGGATTGCCTGTTCTCACTCGGATGACCATTGGGGGGGGGGGGGGGGGGTTGCAAAGATGCTGGAGGGTGGTTCCACTTAGATTAAATTTTTTGATATGAAGGGGTTGATGTGAGCCGACATTTCACAGTCATATATGCCGACCTCGAAATGCTGATTGACATGAAAAGAAATGTACGAGGAGCTAAGGAATAATATGTCTTTTATTGAAGCGTTAGAATGAAAAATTTGGTAAAAGAGGTATAAACAAGGATATTTTTTGGCATAAGGAAAAAAAGATTCAGGGATAAAGTTGCTTTCATAGATGAGACACTAGCAGTGCCAGTGGTAGCTACCGTATACAAAACATATCAACATGGGTTTGCAGAGCTTCGAGGTGAATCACAAGTGTTGTGTGGACGGGGTGGGGTTCCAGATTGCTGCGGCCTATTTCAGCTTAGTTCGGCTGGGGTAAGCTTTCTGCTCAGTTATCCAAGCATAAAACTTTTGCTAGCAATAAATATGATCAATATGAGTTTTCCACACCAGTCATTCTGAAGCAGCAGTCAGTTCTGAAAGAGAAAAAGTCCACATTCTCAGGCATTAATGAGCTGCCAAACAAGAGAACACCTTTCTAGGCCATATGCTTATGCGCGTACCTCTCACAGCTTTCTACAAACCTGAGCCAAAGTATAGCTAATCCTTCAGCATTCTCAGCTTTTTACCCTTATTTAGTGTAGGAGATGTAAATTTGATGTAGGAAATGCCTCAGCTACTGAGAACCGGCTGACAGTGACCAAGCACGGAGTGTCTTCCAAAGTTTGAACGAGCGTCGTTCCATTTCCCCGTGCACGGCAGGCGGACGACTTCATCCGAGCCAACGTGTCCAGCAAGCTGACGGTGATTGCGGAGCAAGTGAGGTTCCTCCAGCGCCAGGCCCAGGAGATCATGGAGGAAGCCCAGATGAACGCGAGGCTTCACCACGCAGCCTGCAATTTCCAGAAGGTGCCCGGCAGCACTTACTACCTCTACAGGAGATCAAACGACCAGGAGTACTTCTCCATGATCAAGCCCGAGGTTGGTCTCAGTCTGCCCAGTCGGCATGTTGAAAATGGTGCGCAAGATGGCGCGAGGTGCATCAAAGTGTGTTGTCATGAATCGGGCCAAGAGGCCAGTGTTTCTGCAGTAACAATCTACCAGGTGTCTGGGAGAAAAAAGAACCACATTTTTCTCACTGTAACATAAATGATGTATTGCCGAACGGCCGGTCTTTGTCCAAGTGTAGTGGTCGGAACCGAACAGCCAAGTTTAAGAATGTATTGTTATCCGATTAAAAAGGTTAAGAGCGATTTTTAGAAATTTGAAACAAAGAAATGACAGTTAACAGAGCTCGTGAATTGACAGACAAACAAACGGGCGCATGTGGAAGTGGAACTTGACATTCTACTTCCGCTTCAAGTGCAGGCTTTGACGGGGCTTTCTTTCAGAGACACTACGCACAATGACGTTCGCCCCGTCAAAACACAAGATGTGTGCATACCGAGTTCAAGTGATTTCACTACACACCCCCCCTAGGGGGGGTGTACACCGCCCCTTGTTTTTCTGAAGGCACCCCCTTAATTTTCAACGACTCCTCTATTCTCAATGCTCCCCCCCCCCCCCCCCTTTCCCCCTAGGGGGGGGTGCATTGAGATTAGAGGATGTTGCATGGACGAACCCCTGCCGGGTTTGTCCGTGCAACATCACCGCAAAGCAATGCACACTATATTCTGCATTACCGCCACCTTTGCCACGATACTGTAAGATACGGGCAAATATTGTTTGGAGAGTTTGGAGTCCTTTTAAGGTTTTAGTATATAGTATGTGTCAATAAATTGTAAGGCAACATTGCAGGGTTAGTTACTATGATTGCGGCAGTTCTTTCTTGCACCCATCGCATAGACTGGTCTAGCTCCCCCAAAACAAGTCTGAGGTGACCATGGCACTCAATGTCTTCAACTCTGGGGAACTCGGGGGCTCTCCAGAGTATCCTCATCTGTTCCCCAAGCTTCCATTTTTCCCACCGTCCCTGCTGCCACGTAAGGCGTCTCTCCAGTTTAGGCACTGTTTTTGGCAGACCTAGTCACCCTTCGGTGCAGAACCATGAATTAAACGCTCCCTAGAATACAAATTATTGTTCACAAGGTCTGTAGGCTTCTGCACTGCCTTATCGAATCAGTGCCAATACCGTGAAGGGTTCCTCAAGATTGAAGATGAGAACCCCGCCTTACCCTGTGGCCACTGACCGCTTTTAAGGTTGTGGGACATCTAGGTCCTGTGAAGTAGTACCATCGCATTCGATACGAGCCGAAACAATTCTTTGCGGTTCTTTTGGTGTACCTGCCAGTTTTTGAGAGACCTGCAGTGCAAACTAGGAATATGGAATGCGAAGTTCCATACTCTGGACTATTTTACGAACTGCAGATGCAGAAAAAGACCCCAACAAACATAGCGGAACTAACAATCCAATTATATGGCAAAATAAGTTTTTGTTTGTTTTTCTGCGAGGTTATTGAGTTTTAGTATTGGTCCCCACCGTTTCTTTTAAACTGAAAATCTCTACTGGCAATAAAGAACGGGTGATGCCAGCGGCAGTCAGGGTCTCGCTCTTTGGGCGGTACAATTTGTTCTCAACTGATTACAAGAATTTTTATGGTGTCGAATGAATGCTATGGAAGCTCACTCCAGAAGTTCCACAGCAACAACAAACAAATGTATGGCACACTATGCTTTTTAAACTGCCTGTTTGACCTGCAAGCCTGCCTGCCAGTGACATCGCGGCACTGAAAAACGCAGGTATATACGAGTCAGAGCCAAAAAGTGACCACAATTTAGCTGTGAGAAAATAAGATATAGTGACGAAAATAATCCCTGGAGAAGGGGAACAAGAGAGACAAAGGACAAACACAAATCTCCAAACACAGCTAGGTGACTGGTGCACGGCCGAAAAAATCCGCCTGGTCCGGGTATCGAGCCCGGGACCTCTCCACTACAGGTGGAGCGCTCTACCCGGACCAGGCGGATTTTTTCGGTCGCGCAACAGTCACCTAGCTGTGTTTGGAGATTTGTGTTTGTCCTTTGTCCCTCTTGTTTCCCTTCTCCAGGGATTATTTTCGTCATTCTTGTCCAGCTCGCTTGCACCTTTGCATTTAATTGCATTATAATCATTGCCTTAAATTGCAAGCTTCACCCTTGTTGGTGTTAGACTGGTGGCGGCTGATAAAGCCCGTTTGCTCTACTGATGTCTAACCCCTGGTTAGCTCATTTGGTAGAGCGCTCCGCCTGTAATGGAGAGGTCCCGGGTTTGATACCCGGACCAGGCGGATTTTTTCGGTCGCGCACCAGTCACCTAGCTGTGTTTGGAGATTTGTGTTTGTCCTTTGTCCCTCTTGTTCCCCTTCTCCAGGGATTATTTTCGTCATTCTTGTCCATCTCGCTTGCACCTTTGCATTTAATTGCATTATAAAGATATAGTGATAGACTGCTGTGCTGCAAATGTGTTTTGACCTACCACAAGAGGGAGTGCGCTGCAAATGTGCATGCCGGCCTGGCGACTTGATGGGTAATGTCACATGGCCGCAGCACTTTAAAAACTGCCGTCTCCTTGTTAGCGTGAACCAGGGAAGAGCAGCGTTCGGTTATCCGATTTTCAGGCGTAGAGGGCAAAAAATCTGCGGATATTCATTGCAGGATGCTGAAGCAGTATGGAGACCCCTGTGTATTGCTTCAGCAGGTGTACGAGTGGCACAAATGAGTTAAAGTGGAGCGTCAATTTTGACGCACGCACCTCGCTCCGGCCGGGCTCAAACTTCAATGACGCCGAACGCAATCTCTGCTGTCGAATGGTTCATACACAGAAACCGGCGTGTCATCATCGATGAAGTGGCTGAAGAATTAAATATTAGTCACGGCTCGACGCAACATATCATTCATCATATTGTGCAGTACCACAAAGTGTCCGCCATATGGGTACCAAAACAACTTACACCGGACCTTAAGGAGCGGAATGTGGATGCTTGCGAGACGCCACTGCGACGCTAAGAAGCCGAGGGAAAGGATTTTCTTCGACGCATTGTCATTGGGGATGAATGCTGGGTACACTGAGCCCAGCCAGAGACAAAGCGAGCAAACAAGGAGCGGCGACACACGTCCCCGAGGCCGAAAAAGTTCAAGACAGCGCCAACGGTGGGCAAGCTAATGCTCACGGTCTTTTGGGACCATAAAGGCCCAATAGTTAAATATTACACGCCCAAGAGACTCACTGTAAACAGTGCACCATACTGCAACCTACTTGAGAAGCACTTGAAGCCTGCAATCAGGTCAAAGCGTCGCGAATTGCTCAGCTCAGGGGTGTTGCTGTAGAACGACAATGCGCGCCCTCACACGGCACGTACAACAGCAGGAAAAATTAAAAGGGCTGCGGTTCGAGTGTATTCTGCACCCTCTATACTCGCCAGACTGCACCGAGTGGTTTTTACCTATCCAGACCCTTCAAAGGGCCTCTCCAAGGAAAGAAGTTTGATACAAATGATGATCTGAAAGCGGCAGTGCATTCCTGGCTTCGGAGTCAGCCACAAGATTTTTTTCCTTGCAGCATCTATGCATTCATGAACCGTTAGCGTACATGTTTCGAGCGAGGAGGCGACTACGTTGAAAAGTAATAAAGGGCTTTTCATAATATCTATGCTGCCACGCAAATAAAAATAAATTGCGGTTACTTTTTGACTTTGCCTCGTATTTGAACGTTGTGGGTTTTGGCATCGCCTTCATTTGCAGATTTCCCAATGACTATTGTGAATTTAGAGATATTAAATGGCATGCTGGAAAGGGTAAGGAATGGTGCAGTTCTTCAGAAATTATACCATATTTTCCAGTCAAAGTTTCACCTTCCTATAAGTTGCTCCCCTTCATAAAAAGTTGTTTTCAGAAAAAAGTTAGTATACAAGTTGCACCCTAGAGTAAGTCGCATCTATATATTTGTAGTCGTCACGGCAAAACTGCTTTGAAAAGCCCACGTATGTGTAAAATGATTGCAATATATGTGCAAGTGAGAGCAAATTTCAATATTCTCATCAATGAATCGAACAAGAAATATAACCCTTGTGGCAAATTTCTGCAGTTGAGGTACTTAGTTATAGAAAAAAAAAAATGCATATATACAGTCAAACATGTTTATAATGAACAGCAGGAAACGCTACGATCAGTTTGATATAGCAAAAAAACATTTACAACGAACTTCCATGATGAGTTCGTCGCAAGGCGAGAGCTTCTCTTTTTTTTTCATCTCTTCACTTCCGCCTTTTAACAACGCGCTAAAAAAATGTTTTTTTTTTCTTTTTGCATGCGTGCAGAGTTTGTATTTTTAGCTTATCTTTCCTTCCGAATCGCTTCTCTTCGTGGACAAACGCTTTGGGATGAAGAGTATTTTTTTTTCTGTGCGTGCATGCAGAGTGTATGTTTTAGCTTTCTCCCCTTCTGAATCGCTTCTCTTCGCTCAATTTTGTTTGCAATTTGAGCCTTCGGAATTTTTTCTCTTTCCTACTCCTTTTTTGGGGGAAGGGACAGGCTAGAAGACGATTGTTTGCACGTTTTTGGAAGCTTTCCCGGGAAGAAAAAGTTTGATATAGCCAATATGTTGTTTGTTATAAATAGGGCTCCGTGTTTTCCGATAAATCCGGAAAACTCAGAAAAACACCCGCCGGTAAAATTTTGGTCAATTCGGATTTATCCGATAAACTCTGAATATTTATGTGTCATGCCCCCCCCCCCCCCCCCCCCCCCCCTCACTGCCAAAAGAAAAAAAAAGTAAGACTTTTTTTTTTATTTGACAGTTTGATCAGCACAGAGCCAATAATCCTGGGAAAATTCCGCCATAATAATCTTTCAAATCTCGGACCGTTGTCAAAAGGAGTCTTGCCGCTTGTCTCTTCAAGGTTGATTCAGGGCAACAGGTCGTTCGTTGTACATTCGGGTCATGACAAAAGCCACTCTTTTGGTTTCCAGTTTGGGCCATGCGATTTGTGATTTAGAGAAAGAAGAGGGTATGTTTTAGTAACAGTGAAAGCTATGGACCATAGGGATTGTATAAAATTGGGGAGAGGAGCAGTCCAAACTCTCTATTAGCTCCTCAACCCGTCCACCTCGCACGGCCACGGGCTAGATTGACATAATAGGATGGGATGACCACGAGCTTCCTAGCGACTACCTCCGGGAGTTTATTGATTTTAAGGTATCGGCGTTTATCGAAGCGCCACTTGTGTGTGACATTTGTCGTAGATAAATTAGTATTGCCAATGGCAATGACACCAATGCCAAATTCAACTGAAGATATTTCAATTGATACAAGCGCGTTTTATTTTTTATCTGGCATACGTTTACATCCGGTTATTATTTGTTTATTTATTTTTGATAGGAAACACAGCGAAATTAAACTCCGAATTTCGGAGAATTGGGAATGAAAAAAATATAAACTCCGATAAACTCCGAATCTTTGGCAAAAAATAGACTCCGAAAAACACCCTCCGCATTTGACGAAAAATAAACTCCGAAAACACGGAGCCCTAGTTATAAAACATACTTTTTACATTAATTTTTATTTAAATTTTCCGCGAGTTCCATATCGACAATATTTCGCTGTATGGGGGTTCATTCTAAACGGGTTTCACTATAAATTCTCCGTTGTATAAAACGCACCAACAAACATTTTTGAAAAAAAAAAAAGACTTATTTATTGGAGAATACTGTAGTTAGTTTGGGTAGCTTAAAAATATTTCCAGAGTACCCGCTTGAAGCATCTAAGTTTAGGTTCGATAGGATTGGGTCAAACACTTTGCGACAGTGTTCTGTACGCAGGGTCAAAACTAAGGCAACTGTCCCGCATCGCATTGCAGGAGTGGGGAGAGCAGTGCCCTCACGAGTTTCTGGGTGGCTTCCGACTGGAGTCGGACATGACCTGGACTCCCACTGCAGAGATTGAGAAGAAGGACAGGCACCTCCAGTCCATCAGCCACATCACACGCTTCTCTCGCTGGAAGCAGGAGCCCCGGGCAATCACAGATGCATTCCTAGCAGACTGATGGCAGCTTTGTACGGCCAGGCGTCGCAAATGGCACCTTTCCTTCGACGTCTAATGCATAAAATGCATGTTTAGAGTTTAGGAAAGTTGTCTTGGCATATTTTCGTTCCATGCGAAATGGTCAGTTTCTTTCAACTTTCTCCGATGAGAAACAAGATGGAATTCTCTGTTTGGGATTTTCTTTTATTCAAGATTTTTGACTTATCTAAAACAGGTGCGTGAAATGGGAGGTGATGGATCTTACTTAGTCAAGAGGAGCGTGTGGTTGAGTCGCCACACAATTGGAGTCATTCGGAGAATGCTTTTGGATGACCAGTGTTTGCATCAATAAAGTGTTAAAATATATTCTAGGACATGCTTTCATAACCTTATTTTTTCATAAAAAAAAAATTAATATACTGGCTAGTTTCAACCCCTATCAAGATGCTCTTTCTTTCTTTTTTCACTTTTTTTTTTTGTAAGTCAAAAGTGGATGCACGAAACTGGTCATAATGACGTCTTTTGGAAAGTTCAGTCCAAAAACAACTGAAAATGTTTTTGCAATATTTAAAATGCATCGAAAGGAACTGAGCCTTGAGCCTTTGCCAACTGGAAGCTAAGAGTTGTATGTTGAGTGCATGCTCATCAAGACGACAGGGTCAAAATAAGCAAAACCTTCTTAAATCTAGATTGTTTCGAGGAAGATACAGAAATGAATCATTCGGCAAAATGTTGTGGGTGTAAGGCACACGAATCCCATCAAATGCCAAAGATTTTGGTAAATTGAAATTTCTTGAAGTAGAGCTAAGAATTCAAGGATAGCATCACCAAACGAATTAATTGTCTCGTCTAGAGGGTAAAAGTAATCGAGGGTCACTGAAGTAAAGATTGGCCTGCAGCAATGTGAAGAATCGCTTTTATGGCTATTGTACTGTCTTTGAAAGCAAATGCTGCAATCTAAAAATTATGTTTGCACATTTCCATATTATAAGCAAACGCTATGATCATTTTTGCTTTTGCGAGGGCTGAATTCCAGTGCAGCTGGCCCATGAGTCCAGCTAGCATTGCAAAACCTAACACAAAGGCAATAGAATGGAAGTAATACAAACTGTTGCAATACTGAGTTTTAGTCCAATTTGCTTTTATACCAATGTCTAGAAATAAATTATTTTTGGAGGAAGTTGCTGTGTGAAGTTTACTGTGCATATTAGTTGGGCAAGGAATAACAAACTAGTGCCTGTAAAAAAGCATATGGTGCAGTAGATGTGTGGTTATGGCATATTGTTGGTGTATAAAACAAGCTTTTCTTTTTTTTTTAATTCAGAGACAAATTTTGTAGACTACATTTCATATTGATTTGTAGGCAGTTTGCTGATCATGCCACAGATTCCACTGTTTTCATGCAGTTCTCAAGAATGCATTCATCAAAATTTTCACAATTCCTGAATTGTTACAGGAACCATTTGCTACTGATCTGAATAGCCATAACCATTTTCTTGCATTGTTTTGATCCGTACACAATTCTTAAAATCGACAAATTAAATCCATTCAGTATTCCAATCAATGTGCTGTAGTGACCACAGGGCTGAGCATGAGAAATTCAATTTATTGTCTTGAGGCAGTGAATGTACAAGGCAGTCAAACTTTTGAGGTGCCTAAGTCCAGCAATAAAGTGCTGTAAAACTGTACAAGGTCTGTTGAGTCAGTAGAGCATGAAGCGTTGACAGGCAAAATAAAGGGCAATGTGAAAACAATGCGGTCGACTTGATTGATCACAGGCAGAAAAACAAAGATTGTGACATTGAACCTTTTTGTTTACATGGAAAAGCCGAGCTGCTTTAAATACAACTTATGGCATGGATGGGTGCTCAATAACTCCTTAAAAATAAATCCACTCTTTCACAGCGTCAATCTGTACAACCACAGCAGTATGCATAGCCTGAACACTGCAGCAGTTTTTGTAGTATAGCCTGCCTTTAGGCATTTCGTGGTCATTGTACCAAGCACCTCAATTATTACTTCAATTATTGAAAAATGATGTATTTATATTCGGAGCATTAATGCAGCACTGAACAATGAAAGAAAAAATACTAAATGGCCATTGTTCATTTTCAACCTAAATGCTGTGTGCTACCAAAGCAGCACAAAAAAAGATCTTAAGTTATGCACTCAAAATTTTTTTTTAGAGATTCTCGAATCGCCAAAAATGATAAAAAGAAATTTTGAAAAAAAGGAAGATGTGATTAGGAATTTTCCTCGTGATAAGGTTCGAGTTTGAGGGTGACTCTGGATGGAGCTTGCTAGCTTAGTCGAGAGTATCGTATCACATGAGGTGCATCCTTTTTGTGATGTTAGTTACGAGCCTAGGAGAGTTTGATTGTCTAACAGCTGAGCTGAGGTGTTAGATGTGCAAGTAGCACCTTGATTAGGGTGCACCCAACACGCTAGTCAACACACTACCTGCCGAGGATTGCAATAAATACGCGGGGGCCGGCCACTCAAAAGAACATCTACAATCGATGCACAACTGCAGGAAAAAAATCTTTTTTTTTCTGCAAATGGTAAGAGTTTTATACAGAGACAGTTTGTGTGCCTACTTCCTTGGAGAGTATGCAGAGAGCCAATTACTTTCGTTTACAGAAGCAGCTCTGCGAATGCTGACATAACAGTATCTTCATCCAGTACGGCTGTCTACACTGAGACATGCTCGGCATGACATTCCAGTGCTCACCGTCCCAGTGTGCTTTGCATGTTTCAGCTTCAGCATTATCGATACCCATCATTTTACACTCTCCTTTGTAAACAGGAACGATTGGTTTACGCACGCTCCGCAGATGCACAGGTGTTGTTCGGAAGGCATGATGGCTCCCTTTTTTTATTATCAAGTGGAGAATAAAATTATGCTTTTCTTACTCGCTAAGTTGTGAATTGATGACAGCACACACTCATGATTTCACTTGGGAGCTATTCCAGGAACTGGCAAAAGTTCCGATATAAATTGGAACAGCAGCTACATACTGTTCTGGCTGAGTAAAATTTTCCATTGCATGATTAGTGAAACCAAACTTTACGGACTGTTTGAAGATACTTTCTGGAATGGCCCTTCGAGATATCTACAACCACAGAAAGGGTACACACACAACGCTAACGTACAAGAAATAAAAGCCGTCGCAATGATTATGCATTGCTCCTGGTGTTGCAGAGTAGTATGGCATACAGGAAGTCCCAAAACGGCAAGAGAAAGAGATAGAAAGAGTAAAAAGATACGACGCATGATACACGTGAACACACTGCAGCTATTTGAAAAAGGCTTTCCTTTATTTTAGCTACGATCCTACGTACTATCCTACCCACACTTGACTGCACCACTTAGTGCTTGTTGATCGTGCCTGCCATCACACCGGCATTCCAAGAGCCTTTTTGTCGAAGGAAGTTAGAGAATTTACCTACCAGATTGCAACATTTCAGGGGCCATTTGCTGGCTCGTTGCTCCTTTATCTATAGGTACCTTCAATCTAAAGGCCTTCAAACTGCCAATGTGACTGTAGGGTCCATACGTGGCATAGTCAAGGGCAGGTGAAAGTGTATAAAGATATTTTAGACTAAATAGAGGTTGCTCATAAACTATATAGCTTTCTTCTCCTATCTTGGACTAGTCTCAATATCTTTTGAATACACTTTAGCTGCTGGACAAAAAAAAGCATGTTTGTCTCGTCGAAACAATGGGGCAGGCAAAAATACTAAAAAAGGTGCGCCACAAAAAAAAACAAAAAAAAAAAACCCTCACACACTTGACGCCATACTTAACCAAGAGCTCATGATTTCACGTCGGGTCAACAACATCCTCAAACAGCAAAATAAAAAATAAAAAAATTTAAATCCCAGTAATTGCTTTTTTTAAACTTTGGGGTAAAAAAAATAAGCATGACATACAAAAAAAAAAGGAAAAAAAAGGCTAAACTTTGGCCGGCTGGTCGTCATATAGTACACCGGAAACAACAAAATGGGAAGGGATGAAAACATTAAAATGAGCCAAATGCGGAGTAAAAAACTCGTCGTCCGATCGTCGTTGCGAACGATGAGTTCCGACCGATCCCTAGACTGCGACCAGACGTCCATTCGACACGGCAGTTACAAACCCTCACCTCAAACCTTTGTTCCCGGATTCCGGAAGCCCCTACATCAAAGGACCAACAACGTTCAAGAGCCACTTGTCTTTCCCTTACGGCCCATTCACACATGCACCGCAGTGCCATTGGTCAGTGCTCAAAATGGCACCGACCTCGTCAATGCAGCACCGACTACGCGCTACATTAGTGATATGGCGCCGATACGGTGCATTGTCGGTGCCGATTTAGCACCGCGATATATCTATAAATCAACCTTTAAGGTAACACGCTTCCTCTTCTTAACAAAACCACTCCAGACGACAATGTGTCAGCCAACACATTCTTCTCCCACAAACATCGTCGCCTCGCGAGCAACGATGCTCGGAGGCGAAGGTTCCCCCAAAGTGCACGGAGGACGGTGCCTACTGGGTCTTGCAAGCGTCCCTCGACTTCTTCGCCTTCTTGCCCTTCTCAAAGGACGTGGACCTCCGCTGGCCCTGGATGGGCATGTAGGGCGGCACGGCCCCCTCTCCGTCGTCCAGGTCGTCGTAGCAGGCGTTAGACAGTGCCGGACTAGACGTGGAACCGCCTGGACAGATGCGACGGGCGCTTGTTGTGACCCGCCCACTGTCCGCCGTACCTACTGTAAAATACTGGGCCGGCGCTCTTTCGCCCGAAGTTTGAGATAACCTCGAAAAAGTAGGGGAGGGCCCTCGAGTTAGGTCCGAGAGAAAAGATGCGAAAGGGGCACGTCACGGGGTGGGTTATGCCACTTTGCACCAGTGTGCTTAGAATAGTTGTTGATATGGAGGGGCATGTCTGTTAGCTAGATTTGTTTATTTTAAATTTAGACATAATTGTCTCAGAGCTGAGTCAAAAGGCGACGGCAAATGTCGCCTGAATGTGCCCCTAGCACCAGGCTACACTTGCAACACAAGCAAAACTATGTAACACAAGCAAAACTAGAACAGAGCAATACAAATACAACATGAAAACTGCAAATACACTACTATATACGCAACACATACAAAACAACAACAAATATTTGAAATAAAAGCCATTAGACGTGATTTAGGAAATACATCTTCGATTGTTTCCTGAAGGTCTACAGGGAGGAAGTATATTCCAATATATCAATTAAGTCAGGTGGGCTTGGAAGTCTGGGAGGGCACTTGACATATCATTTACCGATTTTTCAAACGTTTCAAAAGTAGTGGGTAGGCGCTTATTGCGACATGGGCGCACGCTCGGAATTTTACGGTGCAAGCCAGCAGGTGCGAGGAAGGTGCGAAACGAGCCTTGGAAGTCGTCGACTGGATTGGGGGGCCTGAGGATGTCCCGTTAGAGGATATCATGGGGTGCAGCCCACCTCTAATAAAGTCGAAAGTTCTGCAAAATGTGCTCGTTACGCCAAGAACCTGTTATGAGTGGAATAGCACTCCCATGTGATAAGCCCTTCTTGAAATTTGTGGTTCCCCCCATGTTTGCGTCTTATAAGTGTGCTGCACAGTACTGAACTTCTGCTAGTCATTACTGCTGTGAATGATGGCTTGAAGTGAAGTGTGGTAGAATCTCTACAAGTAAAATCTTAAAAACTTTCGAAATAATGCAACTTTCCCAAATATTTATTCGGTTCCCTCGTGTCTTCATATGTTGCTTACTAAAGCTTCACCGTTTTGCAGTGGCACAGACGTTAGGCTTCCCCACTTCGCACCGGTGTGCTAGGAGCAGCAGTTGATGAAAGGGCTCCCGAATTTTTCGCAATCTTACAGGCGGTCATTCTTTTGTAAAGATTATACTAGATTGACCCAGAATTTTAAAGAACATTGCTGAAGACGAAGGTTAACCTATATTTGAATAAATATGGTAGCTCTCCACAGCAATGAAAGTTCCCATTAAATATACTGGTTTGTGAGAGTTGCTTCCAGCCTTATCTACAGGCACACAAAAGTGTAAAAGGTTGTTAAATTAAACCGGATTACGAGTTTCTTCGCGGTAATCCCCCCCAAAATCTATCAACAGGGTTCTATTCTAGCTAGAACTCTGATCTTTGAGCATGCTGTAATTTGTCGGCGATGCTCCAAAAGCTTCATTCTTGGAGCATTTTGTCGGCAAACACTCGCGGCGGGATTTCATGCCGGCCACACAGACTTGGTACGCGGACGCTTTGGAAGCAGATCAGCTCACTATTTGCCTTTCCATCAAGATGTTACAACTGCAGAACGGCCAAGACAATTTTAAACTTCCCCGAACTGTGTTTTTAGCTTCTTCACTATACGTGGCACACTAAAAGAATTGGGAGACCAACAGAACTGCAACCAAAACTTCCAACAAAAATCCGGAAAGAGAGGATAGGATATCTGTCGCCCTCGACGCACGCGATGACTTGTGACCCACACGTCGTGCACGTGTGTTCCTCTTTCTTCCCAGTGTACTGACTGCAGTCACCACCGATGCAACCGGTTCGCCGACCTGTAGTACTCCCATCTCAAGTACAGATTGGCCAGTACAGCCTGGAAGAACACCTTGCAATATGGACTTCGACAACAAAATAAAAAATTAAAATTGCTTGCGTCAACTCGAGAGTGCCACTGCGGTGGTATGCTCCCCGGTCTCCGACCGGTGTGTTTACCATGTCCTCGTTTGTGGTGCCCCAATTTCCGCCCGTGGATATCTCACTTGTGTCGCACTGCCACCCGCTACCATCCAGGCACCGGATTCGCACTTAGTTGCAGAGCACGCTGGAGCTACGCACCCATGGCCGAGGGAACGGTGCTGCTGTGGGTGCTGCTGAGGGTGCCATTGAGGGTGCCGTTGTTGGGCGACCCCCGGGACGCGCTGTGGCCGCTGCCCGCGCTACCCTGCCGCTCGAGCGAGTGCTTCTTGCGCCCAAAAGTTGGGTCCAGCTCCGCCGCTATGTTCTTGATGCCGGGAGACACCAAGTAGGATGCTGCCTCGTCTCGTTCCTCCCTCCGTTCCCCCTCCTCCTCCCTCAGCCTGAAAGAGCAGGCACATGCACATTGTTTCCAGATTCATCGAGTGCGTAGTCCCGTTAACAAACGTCATTCTTCCAATCCCTCATTTGTTCACTTACTCGCAAAACTCTGCCTGCTGCATAACTAACCCGTTAAAACCGGGACTCTAGCCTAGGCAAATCTAGATCAACCTTACCTGGCCTAGCCTCATCTGGCCTGGCCTTGCCTGGACTCGCCTGATCGAAACGTATGTCCTAATTAAATCCAACCAATCCTAACCCAACATAATCTAACAAAACCAAACATAGTCTAACTAAAACAACATACAATCAAATGTAGTCGTACCATCAGCAAAAAAGAATGATACAGCAAAAAGAAAGTGTGAGGTCTTTAAATTAAATAAATTAAACTTTGATTACTGAACAATTGTAATAATTAAGGGGCAGCAGAAAGAGGTAAGACAGGATCTTATGTCGGAGGCAATTCCACTCCCCCTTTGCTTTGAAGAAATTAAATATTGGAACTAGAGAGCACTAGAATATGTAGTTTACGGTAAAAGTTGCACTAGTTTGTAGCACAGTTATAAGAAATAATTGTTTCTGTAATATAACCGTAAGAAAATAGTTTAATAATTACCAAAATTACCTTTAGAGAGTTGCAGAAAGAAAAAGAAAAGTCAGTTTATCAACATAATTATGTCACAGACTTTAGTTTCTTCAAATAAACATGCAGGTTTTTATTTGTACAGAGTGCCAGACTAGGGACATTTAGCACATGAAAGTTAAGGCCCGTTCACACTCTTGCGACCTCTTAAACCTGGGTTCCTTAGAACTTCTTAAACCAGAGAACACACTGGCGCCATCTATCGGGAAGCAGTGTAAACTCGGCGGTCCGGCATACTTTTTTTTTATTTCTCGCGCATTATCCTTTCTTTCTTGGCTCGAAAAAATTTTGCTAATGTTATAAACGAGCCTTTCTATAAGTATTACGCACATTTGACCTCGGAAATCCCGCAAAACCTTCGCTCTTGTGAAATGCAGTTCCAGGGTCACCGCATAGATGGCGCCACAATGCCAGTGTGTTCCCTCATTCTATAACATTTAAGAAGTTTTAAGAGATCTCGTCTCTCTCAGTCGTACTCGGTCGCAAGAGTGTGAACGGGCCTTTATCCAGCACCTCAACTGGGGTGTTGAATCCACATTTATGCATCAGCCGTGTTAAATGAACTGCTACTGCCCCCCCCCCCTCCCCCTCCCCCCCTTGCAGAAAGAGTAGAAAGGCATGACACATGATACACATCAATGCACTGCAGCTATTTGAAAAAAGCTGACCTTTAATTTAGCTACAATCCTATATATACTATTTTACCCACACCTGACTGCACCGAATAGTAATTGTTGATCGTGCCTGCCATCACATTTGCATCCCAAGTGCCTTTAGGTCGAAGAAAGTAAGGGAATTTACCTATTGGTTCACAAAGTTTCAATTGCTATTTGTTAGAAGGGGCATAATGATATTTGCTGCTGTGCTTGCCTCATATACACTAATACAAAAATTAAGAACACCCTCTGTAACAAGAAATGACCCACATGTCGGCTGTGCCAGCGGTGGAGTTTGGTGCAACTGTGTGCCGATTGGCAGGGTTGAGCTCCTCAATATATATACTAATACAAAAATTAAAAATACCCTCTGTAACAAGAAATGACTCACACGTCGGCTGTGCCAGCGGTGGAGTTTGCTGCAACTGTGTGCCGATTGGCAGGGTTGAGCTCCTCAATATATATATACTAATACAAAAATTAAAAATACCCTCTGTAACAAGAAATGACTCACACGTCGGCTGTGCCAGCAGTGGAGTTTGGTGCAACTGTGTGCCGATTGGCAGGGTTCAGCTCCTCAATAGTGTCCTGCATTGGAAGTGAGAACAGGGACACAAACCTGCTTGTCAATCGCTCACTCAAGAGGCAAATAATGGAACCTCAAAACTACCAGCATTACTGTCACCAGTGCCTCAGGCACAACTTATTTATAATAAACACTAGTAAACTTTTAGAAAGCCAATATATTATTTTCTTTTTTTTGCACTGTACACATGCTGGTGCAAACCCTTTAAAAAGGAAAAGCACTAGATGGTTACTGCAAAACAAAAGAAACGTGTGACTGCTCACTAAAGCACTTGCGTTTTCCTCCTCAAATGTTACAATTATCCCGACTATGTCAAGCGTGCATAAATTCATTTCAAGTAAAGTGCCCATTCCTGATTTTGTTGGTTGTCTTATGACTAAGGGTCGGCATATACTCAGGATTTAAGAGTGTGAGAAGAGACATTATCTAAGAGTCCTCGCGATAGACATTCAGGAAACCAAACTGGCATGCAGAGAAATTACAACCTTCCTATCAGTATTATTGACCAATGCCACATGAAAAGCTTGAGACCTAGGCACGTGTCTACTTTCCCACAGGAGACAAGGAGAGCCAAGTATAAATTGATGAAAACTAAGGAAGAGGCATATTAATAATGGGGCAGAGAGAATGTTCACAACAAGAAAATGACCTGGGCTGAAATGGAACTCTAACCATGTGAATGCCATCGCTCAGTTTCCCGTTGCATTTCCAAGCCAATAGACTTTCTTGGTACCTTATTATTTCTCAGTCTCCTTCATAAAATCACAGTTTAGCCTCTGCACTGTGGGAAAGCATAGGCGCAGATGTCATTAATAAAAAGGTCAGCCCACCGGTACCAGAGTAAATCTGCTAAGCACGCAAGTACCGCTGACAACCCCAACAATTCCCGCACAACACTGCTGGTTTACATTATGCGCAGTCATTCTGAAGAATGATACGCCGGCAAAGGACAAAGGATTCCTTTACATTGCCAGGCTGTCTTTTTAGTGTGCCACAGAATCTCGGTTCTCTCTGCATAATAAGCTCTTATTGGACTAAAATATGCCGCAACATAAGATGGGCAGTAAAAGCACCCCTTCCGGCGCATGCGCGGCCAAACACGACAGAAGGCAACGAGTGCACGCTGGAGGCAGAGTTTGTCCTGCAGACCTTATGTTGCAACAGACTAGAGCTCAAGGCTGGTACACACACTTGCATTTGAGTGTGGTTTAGTTTGTTGTGAGCGCTTGTGACCTGTGGGAAAAATAAACCCAGAAAAAACGCTCCCGAATTTAAAGAAGAATAAACCCCAAAACACAGAACCTTGGTTGCAATGTTGTCGGAACTATTTCAAGCCCACAGTAAATGAATTATTCGTAGAAAATGAGGAAATATACCATATTTACTCGCATAATGAAACATAAAGCATTGCCTCCTCAATAGGGAGTTTCACTATGTGCTTCCGATACCACCAATAACTATGCAGCGCATGCATAAAGGGGCCTGCAGAGAACTGGGTATTGTTATTGGAGTTACCAGAAGGATCTACTAAAATAACTCCTTGTTAAAGCAACCATCTTTTCTTCCCTAATTGTTAGAACCGACCCGACTGTGTGAAATATCCATACATTCACTTCGAGAAAATGTCAATTGCTAACCAATTACACATCAGCAAGAGGCAGCACAAGCGAGTAAAATTTGAAAGTTTTATGAGCCGAACCAACAGAGGTCATCTGGCACGCACCGGCGAAGGGCTGAGGATTCATTTCAACCACCCGGGGATCTTCTGACATGCAACCAGTTACACAGTTACACGGCACCTTCTCCACAATAAGTCTCAGTCAGATTACCGGCACCTTGGCAGGGATTCAAATCGTAGGCAGTTATTTTTCCTATGTAGGCTGGCGCTTGGTTTCTGTAGGCTGACACTTTGCCTCTGTAGGCCGGAACTTTGGTAGGCCTGCACTTTGTCCTGTAGGCTGGCACTTGGCCTCTGTATGCCAGCACTTTGCCTCTGTAGGCCGGCACTTTGAATCGGAGCCACTGAGACGAAAATGAAGGAAGCCGAGCTTCTCTTGCACACCTGAAGTTGCAACAAACTAGAGCTTAGAGCACCCTGTGCGTTCCCCTGGTGTCACCGGGGCAACTGCCAACGTCAAAACGAGCGCTTACCATATCCTGCTGCTGCTGCTGCTGGAGCATAGCCTTCTGGCGTGCCCTCTCCCTGGCTCTGCGCAGCCGGGCCTTTTCCTGGTCCTGCAGCATCTTGGCCAGTTCTCGGTCCTGGGCCTCCATGGCAATCTGACGGTCCTTGGCGCTCTGACCTCGCCTCTGCAAACAGGTACACAGGACGGCAATCCCTCAGACACCTCGAAAAGATGTGGATTATGCAGATGTGGTCCAGGCACAGCCCCTCCTCTGCATGCAGCTACATGAGTAGGTGCTGTCATGCTTGTAGTTAAGGGCGTGCATAGCTGGTGACAGGTTAAAAATTTAGTACATACTCCCCCTCAAATGCAAGCTTTCTGCCTTTGATAAAACTTTGTTGCAAGCACAGCTAAAGCCCGCCGGAAGGCGGAGCTTGTACTGAATTAACAGCCTGTCACCAATGAGAGTTAAGGGTGTGCCAAGAATGATTTCTATCTGCATCTATACATTCAGAAATGGTCAAATATGGAAAAGAAATTCACCTACAGCATCATCATCATCATCATTTATTTTCCTTGAGGACCCGCAATCGGTATTACACATAAGAGTGGGCACACATATAAACAAAAAAACAAAAAAGAACACGAACACAAAATTTACACAATACTAAAACAAAGTAGTCTAATTTGACAAGTTAAAAAAGAAGATGGTAGTAGCTGCTACAAATATATTAGTGCTATTTGTATTGTGTTGCATTATCTGCAAAAGCAACAACAAAAATCAAAATGAACAGAGAAAGTTCTGCACATTTCTCTTGCACACTATCGCCATTAATTGTGGTGAAACCCATCCTGAAAAAAAATAAAATAAAACAAAAATATGTAAAAGAATGACAAAACTGCCCTTTTAATAATATGCATGAAGCATCATCTCTGCTAGTTTTTGCATGGCTTTAACTGTAAGAAGTTACCATTATGACAAAAGTAGTGCCCAAGTAAATTTAACGGATACCTCTCCACTACCTTCTGTCTAAAGCTTCTGTGGTACCATCACTATTTTTGTTCTGTATGGTGCATAGAGTTATTATAATCTACGCTAGAGGTTCAAGTGGCGCTACTGTGTTGCTGCAACTTGAAGCAGACAGCAAGCAGTCGGAAATTGACTTCCGGTAATGCATTTCTATGGGAAAAAGCGAGTGCATTTTCTCTCTGCGCTCGATTATAAGAGCAAATATCACAAATATTTTGTATGTACTGGCACATTGGAACATTCCTCAGTCACGCAGACGAAATAATTAGTCAGTTACTGCGTTTTTATTTAAAATTCGTGGCATGAAAAACGGTGCTAAAACCGCTTCGTACGTGTATTTATGTGCACTGTCGGACACTGCTAGCGCGAACACGGCATCAACGCTTTCCACCATGGGTGATATACGTGTCAAACGAACGAAGGACATGTGGAAAACCAAGAGAGACGGCAAGAACTATGCAGTAACACTGGATGAGTAACTCCTTGTGCATGCAGGCGATCAAAATAAATTGAAAGCCACGTAATATAGTCCGATTTGCAATAAATAAGTACTGCTTTATTCTTTCTCCTCATGAATATGTGCAAAGATGCATGTTCTGGATTCAAATCATCGACTGCACTCTCCAAATCTTTGCAAACAGAGAGAAGTCAGAGAACAGGTGCCCGATAAAAACTGCCCGACATAGGAAATAATAAAAAGGCACACCATTGTAGTCCACATACTCTATTTCTTGCATTAGAATGTTTTTTAACCGATCTTAAAGATGCACGACGCAGTCATTTTTATAGCGTGACAGGACGGGCATATAAGCAATATGTAAGCGCCACCAAAATGCTAGCGAACCTTGAACACACTCAACATTCTTTTCGATCGTTAGCTTGCTTAGAATCGTCACTCGTTTTTACATACCTGCCATGGAACATAGATTTGAGCCTGAAATATAACGAAGCTTAAAATCATTCAGTGGTAAAGAAAAATGCTGTAATTAAATCAATTACACTTTTACAATATTAATAAACGTACATACTATCTGGTACAACCGAAATAATAAAAGTTATTCATGTTATTTTCCAGAGAAGAGACAAATTTCACGCGCGTTTTCCCATAGGAAAGCACAGGAGCACCGCAAAAGTAGACTGGTTGCTGTCTGCTTCAATTTGCCTCCCGGAAGTCGCATAGACACTAGCGCCAGTTGAACCTCTAGCATACATTATATTAACTCTATGGCTTGGTGTACTCACCTTAGTTTCCTGCTCTTGCAGTAGTCGTGCTAGCTCCTGTTGTGAGAAACAACAGACCAACATTACTCTCTCGGGAGAAACCTAGAAAAAAAATACAAAAATGGCAGACCTTTGTTTACTTCAGTGTTTTGTCAGTTTACTGCCACAAACTACTATTGATACAGTCCTGTCTCATTAATACAGACATCATTAATATAAGTACACTGTTATATAATTGAAGTTTCCGGGGGCAAATTGGGTAAATCGATGCATTCTTGTCTCCTTAACATAGACAACTCACATTAGGGACAATGAATTTGGGAATAGATGTGTCTATATGAATGAGACATCACTGTACCACTTTTGTTTCTCAGCATTCTTCCAGTTGAAAGCCACTGACCATCTAAAAAGATTCTATCCTAACACTTCTAAAATTAATTTGCATCCTTCCTGCCACCATCCTTCCCGCCTTGCTCCGAGTGAATGAAGTGAGACCTTGCTTAAATTAATTAATAATTTCAAATTTTATCCAAGGCTGCCAACCTGCTTACTCAATAAAGAGGAGAGTTTTTAAAATCTCGTCTCTATCACATCTACTTCACAAAGCTTCTTTCAGTAGTGCACTTCAAGCTGGACTGGTGGCAACAAAGCACATTAAGAGCTTGCACCAAAAGGTGTAAGGAGGTGGTGGCATGTAGGGGATATAGCTGTTATAGCTTTCGCAGCAAAAGCAGGAGGAGAAATTCCTGTTGCCACACTAGAGGCAAATTCCAAGATGGCAAAGTTGACTTTTTTCACATTCAGAAGATTTTGACAAAAATGATGTGTAATGAAAAGTGTTCTTTATGTAAGATTGTTCAAGCATCCCCAAGGGGTTTATTTTGGTCAATGTGAGAGCGAGAGCATCTTCAGCTGCTGATTGGATGTCGTGACCCAGCTTGCATGTAATCAACCAATCAGACATTTTTGACCCGTTCACATGTTCACGATTGGGCAATATTTTGGGGAGAAGGTCTCACCAACATACAAATACTAGTGTGAAAAGTCTCGCAGCATCCGACGTGCTTGTCCTCAGTACTCCTTCATCCACCGGTCGTTGTTAGCCTCTGTACGATGACAGAACAACTTGAGATTAGCAGAAGTGCGGGTCGTCAAAGGCTCTCGACGTGAAAAAGCAGACGAACAGAAATTCAGCCAGCATTCGATCTTGCCTCATCATGGTCTGTGGTTTGTAGCAGATGATTGACATTTTTTCCTTTCTGTTAGCAGACGACCAACGGTATTTTCCTGTGTTATTGCAGTCTGAAAATGATGCTTTGTAGCAGACGAACCTGATACTTCGCTCCCGTTAGCAGACAAACCGTCTATGAATGCCACCTTCGCTTGCTTTGCAAGAAACAAGTTAGATCTCGCTCTCACTCTCGCAATGACCAAAGCCAGTCCCCGGGGTTCTTACAACCTAAGGAAAATTGACAAATGACCTGTGTGCACACAGACCCATAGCATAAGATAGCTTCTTAATATAACGCCCTTAAACTATCTGACCTGAGTCGAGCAGTAGGAGCTACTCTGACTTGAGGCACGCTACATTCAAGTCATGACTTCAATCAAACATTATTTAAAAATGGCAACTGCTTCGAATGTGAAGAAAACTTGAACTTGAACTTTGTTTCAATGATAAAGTAAGCTTGTGAAAACATTTAAGCAGGTCTGAACCACCTGTTGATGCATAACTGAGCCATACACTCCTAGTATGTCCATTTTTTCTTACAAGGTTTGTAGTCTTCTGCACTGCTTTATGTACTGCCTCAGTGCTGAGACTAGAAAGGGCTCCTCAGCTATCAGTCAAAACAAAGAAGGGCTTTTCAGGATTGAAAAAATCCTGGAATAGTGTCAAAATACTTGACTCTTTCAAGTTGAAAGAATCACAAATGTTGTCCTTTAAACTGAAGCCAAAACTGCTTGATTTCAGAGACATAACAATTTCGTGGAGTAATCGCTAAGCTACTGCCGTGAAACCCATTTCATAAGCTCGCCTGCGAAAGGGAGTCTACCAAATGGAAACAAAATACAGTAAATGATTTTAGTTTCCTGGCTCAATATTTCTTGAATTTTGCAATGTGCGGGTTCTGGGCAATACTCCGTAGGCGCAGAATTTCTGTGAGCGAGAACAGTATGCCACGAATTTGTTACCGTAAAGTAACGTGTTTGTTCAACAAATTTTTCTACACATTTTTCTAACCACAAAATTTGCGAGAGTGAAGTGCAAAAAACAATTTAGAGCTCTTCCACTTCACGTAAAGATGGAGGACCAGCGAAGCTGTTATCTTTACAATGCCTAGGACAATGCCTAGAGGACGACATCTAGGACAACCTCAAGGATGACGCCTAGAGGTTGACCTCAAGGACGACGCCTAGAGGTCGACCTCAAGGACGAAGTTTAGGACGACCTCAAGGATGACTTCTAAGACGACCTCAAGGACAACTTCTAGGACAACCTCGAGGACGATGCCTAGAACGACCTCAGGGACAACGTCTAGGACGACCTCGAGGACCATCTCGAGGATGACATCTGGACGACCTCAAGGGTGACTTCTAGGATGACCTCAAGGACAACCTCAAGGACGACCTCAAGGACAATGTCTAGGACGACCTCAAGGACGACTTCTAGGATGACCTCAAGGACGATTTCTAGGACGACCTCGAGGACAACTTCTAGGATGACCCCAAGAGAAATTCAGCCTTTCCACTCTGGTGAAAACTAGAGTGGAAAGGCTGGAAAGGTTGCTGCCGTTGCTTATGGATGGCGGTAGCTGTCCTCAGCTTTGTGCCGACATTCCTTTCCCTGCAGACACAATACTGGGGAAACTAGCCCTTAACAGCTCCGCTATAAAAATAGGTCATTTACACTATGCAGAAGCACAAGTAAGGCAGGAAGAGTGGAGAGTGTACCGCGTCCTGTTCCTCCTGAAACCGGCGGAGTTCCTCGCCCTCCAGTCCCGGTGGGGGTTGCAGGCAGAAGTCTGAGAAGTCAGAGTCCCGCTCAACCGTCTCTGCGTCTGCAACGCCACTCTCTTCTCCCAGGGAGAGCCTCCGCAGGGCAGCAGGCAAGGCGTCGTCTGCAACACGGTCGCTGCATCCCTTACAACAGCTTCTTAGAAACTAAAGCCGCAAGAGTGAAGGCTGCTTCACATGTTTGCATCTGATTGTGATGAGTTGCACTGCAAGTGCTTATGATGGGAGAACACAGTGGCCCCATCTAAAGGGTACAGTTATCGACAGCTTAAGAAACGCTCAGCGTGGCGATCCTTGAGCATTTGATTATTTCTCTGCACCTAGCATGATTGCTGCATTATCCAAAAAGAACACAGAAGAACAAATTACAAACCGAGAAGCGTGAAATACAGTTTGCGCATCAATCTTTCGCTGTGGGCTTGAAAGAATTCTGACGACATTATAAGCGATCATTCCACGTAGACAGATCATAAATTTGATCTCGTAAATACTGCAAAACCTTCAGTCTATAGATGAGGCCAGTTTGTCAGTGTGCTCTCTCATCATAAGCACCTACAAACAGCTGCGAAGCAGTTGATCACACTCAAATCCGAATGTGTGAACCAGCGGGGAAGATACTAGATGCACAACATCAGAGGCAGCGATGGTGATCTCCATCTTGGTCTTAAAAATTTCCACGGCAATGGGATAGATGGCGGCACCTGACAGCTAATTTTCTAGGTTACAGTAAGCTCGCGACAATTCAAACTCGCATATTTCATACTTTTAGTTAATTGAAACAAATTTTAAAATTTTGGTTATCTCACAATGTTTTTAATGTATTCATAAGCCACTTAATTCAAACGTTGTCATGTAATTCATACTTTTTGTTCCCGCGGCCCCGTTGAGTGCGTTTCTTTCCGAGAACCGGTGCACTGCAGAAAGGCAACACCCGTGGAGCTTGCTTCCGCGGGTGTTGCTTCTCCGCAGGGCACCAGTGCTTGGTGAGAAGTGCACTCAACGGGACTCAAGCAGGGCACACATGAGCTATCAAAACGGGCACCACGCGGAAATTTCCACAACTTACTTGTATGCTGTGACAGAGCGGCACGGCATAAAGCGCGAAACACATGTACGACGAAACCGTCCGATCCGACGTCCGACCGCGCAATACGACGGTCGGAGGCGAGGGTCTTCAACGCTCTCCGATGCTACGAAAACCCTCTCCCTTAAGGTCATTCCGGCAGTCCGCACGTCAGATCGGAAGGTTTCGTCGTACATGTGTTTCGCGCTTTAGTCTACGTCACAGCATCCGTGCCAGTTGCTATGAAAATTGTTGCGCGGTGCCTGTTTTCATCACTCAAAATAGACAACTTCTTGGTTTGATAAACAAACTTAATTTTGCTTTAAATTGCCATGTACTGTCTAAAAAGCCCACGATAAACAACAATTTTGAGGGATAAATAAACTTACTATGTCATACATTTCCAAAATGTTTCATGCAAGACATACCTGCTTATGATCAGTAGGCCTATGTAGAGGAAATCATAAAATATCTGCTTTGTATGTGTAACCATTCGTATGGCAAATCACTTTTATCTTGCAACATATTTATATAAAATTCTGGTAATTCAAACTTCTGATAATTCAAACAAAATTCGTGGCTTGCTCAAGTTTGAAGTAATGAAAGTCTAGTGTAATCACTCTATTCATTCGAGCATGCTGATTCAAGTTTGGGATTTGGTGTGGCGATGTAAATATAGGCCTAGATTACTGAATGTGGGGAAGGAAGTGGCTCAAGGATAAAGTTCGCCGCAAACTTTATGCATTTGAAATGCCTCCCATTAGAATAGTGTTCTCGAGAGGCAGTAAAGGTGCTATCACACCGGCGATGTGCAGCAGTCACACAATGACTTTCATCGCAAAAGCGACCATCGGGAAAAGAAAGCGACGCGTTTCGAGCAGTCGCTTGCTGACCCGGCTTTTTGCAATGCAATCTAGTCGTGGAGCGGCTGAGCCAATCAACGGCATTCGGAGCGAGAGTTTTCAAGAAGCGACTTGCTCATTGCGCACGCCAATGTGACCATCTAACTTTTTTGCGGTGTGATCTAGTCGCATCGCGCGAGTGATTTACATCGCCGGAGTGAACGCGCTTTAAAAGCGGACAACACCAGAATCTCGTCCGAGTGTGCCCTACAATTCTTGGTGCATTTTGGTGCCACACAAACGGAGCCAGCTTGAACTGTGTTTGTGGTAATGCACATGATCCTTTCTGACGAATTGTGGGAAAAGGTGGCACAGAAAAAACCACGGTGCCACCTTTGTAGCATAAGTTACCATTACAGTGGCTCTAGTAAAAACTTAAACTGAAGTGTGCAAGAATGCAATGTGGGAATATAGTTTTGTCTTTGCCATTAGCTAAGGGTTTCCCAGAGAATGTCTGGTACATTTATAAACACACAATGACTATAAGTAGCTTCCAAGAAAACCGGGATACAGTGAAACCTCAAATATTTTCCTGGAGTAGATTTCAAATGTTTATGTGATAAATGTCTTAATGCCATTAATACCTAAATTTAATGTTAGTTTTCGCATTCATAGTTCCCCTTGGAACACAGAACTTGTTTTTAATATGGAGGCGATCCTGTGCATGCTTTTAGAACGCAGCTCTTAGGCGCTTGTTTCCGGCTTGAGCGGCGTCGGCGTAACCGCAAGGTCACGTGACCCCTCCCCCCTACGCGCCTTCCCCCCTCCTCAAGAGCTGCACTCTAATTTGGCGTTACAAGGCTTTCATTTTTTCAGTTTTTTTTTTTTTTTTTTTTATCAAGTCATGTCAAAGTTGCTTTGCTGGCTTCTTGCAATGATATGTGCTACTAGTAGTCTTTCACCTTACCAACAAAATCCACCATATAGTGTACAATACACTTTGACTCCATGTAATTTATTCCTTGGTCAAAGGATAACATTCTGTTGGCTCTCTAAACATTATTGCTAAGGTAAAGTATAAGGTTAACATATAAATAAATACACTCAACAGGCACAGTCAGATACTTACAAGCCCACAAAAGTGTTTTGAGTGTGAGAGACCCTACAGAAAAGGAGAAACTCAGCATGTCACTAGTGAAAACCACAAATCCATATATGTAATTTAGAAGCTACACATCAATTCATTACTTAATGCTGAACCTATATTCATATGTACATGCAGTACCAATAGTATAAAATACTTGATTCTGTGCTATTTATTTATTATGGTAATCCCTTCCAAAGGGAGCCAATACTAATTTTGCTATTTATTTTGTCGCTGGATGAAATAGTTTTGCAAATAAGCATTCCCCATACACCTTTTCCAGTTCTTATCACAAAACAGAAAAATGTGAAGTCAATGGGACGCGGACACATGTGTGGCATCTGATCTTTTGCAGAAGGGTGTTGCTGCACATGCTCAGAATGCTTCCTACAGCCCAGTAGACAAAGATAGCAGAAGGTGATAATTGGAATGTTCGTCGGCAACTTTTCGCAGTAGCAAGCTGAGTCGTCACGAAGGGGGCCGAGCAGCAAGTCGCAAGGGGGGGGGGGGGGGGGGGGGCAGGCAAAAGAAAGGAAAAAACAAAAAGAAAGTGAAGACATTCTTTGTCCAAGTATGGGGATGATGCACAGTGCCAATAGACCTTTTGCTATATTACCCAAGCATCAAGGAGAAATCAGGGATTGGTGTTCCACGCGCTACACGTGCCGACCTTAGCAGTAGTAACTTTTCTGAAGCAAATGGCATTTGCACGCGCGTTCGTCAATGCCTTATTTTCGTTATTTACTTTGAATCTTTTATACGGGGAAGGCGTGTGCGTGTGGCGCGTGGAACACCAATCCCTGCATGCTCTTTGACGCTTGGGTAATATTGCAATAGGTCTATTGATTGGAAGTGCTTCTTGTACTTGTCTAACCTTATTAGATGTAAAAACAGCACTGCGATCCTTGAGTCTGCGTAAGGAAGTGACAGGGAGAGGAAGGGTGCTTTCCTGATGCCATACCGGAGTCTGCATTAAACTGCCTCGTGGGTTGCTGGCCCCTGGTCCATAGAATAAAGAAAGCCACTCAATCGAACGTAAGGTCCAGCAAAAAATTATAGGTTGAAGTGGTAGCTCATAGGGCCAATCGACCTCAAGACCCATATAATCATGAAATGTGTAGGTCAGTCAGTCTGTAACTGCTAGATGACCTTCAAAAGAAAAAAAAAAAAAAGCCAAGCAGGCGATGTGAGAAAGTGCAGAGCGGAGAGGGGTGGAAGGGGCAGGCAAAAGAGGAGCAGGAATAGGTGGTGCAAAAAGCATGTGCAAAATGTGGAAGAGTGGAAAGGGCAGGATAGCGTGCTTCCCCTCTCTTGATGACCCAGAAAACTCAGTGCAAAGGCTTGGTATCTGGTGGTGCTGAAGGGAAGTGCACGCAGTGCCACAAAGAGATAATGGTGTGACATAATCTGTTTCCATACAAATCCTTGTCCTAAGCACCACCTGAACTAAGAGCACCACCCACCCTATAAAGCTACCGCATTTAAACATGTTTGGCAGAAGAACCAAACATGCAGCCAATTTTTCTAACTTACTTTCACCCAAGTTTTTTCTTGGGCTACTTTCTCAAACCCTTAATCTGCCAAAGATGCACTTGGCTCATCCAGAGATGTGCACTTCATTAGCCATCCTGGGAAAGTCATATATGCAACATTAAAGCTTTTCAAATACTTTGTTTCACTATATATTGGTAACAAAGCTACGACTAAAATGCAGGTGGCTCGCTTTGAAATGTGTTTAGACTGCGCAGGCTTTCACTTGAATGTCAAATGAAATATAGATGAGCGAGCCTTTTATATGGTCGAAAATTCAGAACCATTCAATGATACTGGAAAACAAAACAGGATACTATAAAGGCGTAAAAAAAACTCCGTAGCATTGGACTCCGGAGTAAAGCTGTAGCTACAGAAAGCAAACTATGCATAAAAGTATGAATAGACAGTTGCCACTCACCCTTGCGTCTCCTCTCTATCCTGTCAAGCTTCTTCGGCAGTTCCCGCCTCTGAAGTTCGAGTGCCATTCTCTGTAGGAAACAAAGGGACGCCGTCAGTCTCGTGACGAGATAGCAGATAGGTATGCCTTCTCTGTTATCAATGTTTATTACTTTATTACAAAATGCCAGCTTGTGCACACTGGACGTCTCGGAAATAGCAGCTTGGCCGTCGGGTGCATACGGCAAAGGGCAGCCAAAACAACAGGTGGATATCTTGTTACTGCAATTTCCCCCGGTTGTCAAAATAAGTGTCACAACTTTGTTTAAACACTCATAAAATTGCTGTCCCACATGAATTGGATTCTTTGAGACATCTCTAGTAAATTGTGCCACATTTTGATCCCTCTGGAAACAATTTTACCCATTTAGAGCCCGATGATGCCACAGAACAATCTTAGTTTCAATTTCAAAAAGCAAACTTTCAAGCAATCCTAGAAAGATAAATCTATACAGTCGCCGACCGAGTTTTCGAAAACCAATAATTCGTCTTGTTTGAAATCTCGGACCAAAAGAAGGAACCGCGACCTACCAGATAGAAAATAGTGCATATTCACGACCAATGTTTCGGACAGTTTGAAGTCCGACATTTCTATTTCTCGGACAAAATCATTGAGCGATCAGTGGGAAACACCATCGAGAAGCTGCCATTTTAGATTCTGTAGGCTCCACATGGATTGGCAGTGCTACTCAAGCACTATTAAATCCTAACGCTAGGTGATGCTATGCTACAGCTTTTTCTAAGGCGAAAAAAAGCCTTATATGTCCCATTACAAGAAAAGGTGCACGAAAGATGGTCACACCAATACGTCAATAAGCATGCGCCGCTCAAGGTCAAAACGGACGCACCTCAGAAATAAAACAGAAAGAAAAGTACAGCAATGCAAATGCTTTGTAACGTCACAGAGAAGCCGGTGGAGATGCTCAATGTCAAGGCGGAGACGCCTCAAAAATAAAACACAAAGAAAAGCACTTTCTTAAGTGCCTTTGGCGTGTTTTTTTTTTCTTTTTTTTTTTTTTCTAGTTGTGTGTCAATATTATCATCATTGCTACCATTTCGCCTTGTTCATTTGCCATTCTGCAGTCATGAACTTATGCCTCTCATCTCGTTTCAGCGAATCAAGTTTTCAAATTACGCTGACTTGGACATCATGGCCCTATCTGTTCTTCTGCTGCTGCAAAGTGCCGCTAAGAAGCGTGGAAAGTACTTGACCATAGTGCTAGAAAAGAAGGCAGCGATTCTCAAGCTAATAGAAAGTGGCCAAACGCAAGAGAAGGCGTAACCTGAAGCAAGACACCATTGATGAGTTTTTTAAGCCCGCTTGGACTGCTTCATTACTGAGACGTTTTTCAGTCCCTGTGAAGTCTGAAAATTCTAACAAATGTATATTTGAGCGAATATAAAATAGATCCTTCCCAAAATTCACTCTGCTCACTTCAAATCACTATTACCATATAAATGTAAGGTTCCTCAGCCATACTAATTGTAATTGGCATTGCAAAAGCTGACGAAGGAGTAGAAAAGTTAAAGAAATGCCTCCAGGCAGATGGCATGATGTCATGAGACCAAAAAGACAGTATAATGTAACAAACAAATTGAATATAAGCAAAGCGACAGCCTGCTCCTCAGACTGGAGTCCTATCCATCTGATGGCACATGCTCGGGTCAGTGCACCATCAAAACTGAACTGAATCGAGTGGCAAGCAAATTAGGAAGAAAAAATCGGTCTGCCACTAGCGTATCAGTTACAGCATGTGCCAAAATAAAGCGGTAAATTTTTTACACTGCCTTTAGTTTGAGTAATGTGCCGGGAACTTGTGCTTGACTGGAGTGTTTACCGTCCTATCCTGCCTATGCATTGAAAGCAATCCTGAAAAAGCAACTAACGTCATGTGTCATGATCCTGGCATTTGATCATAAAAATGCTTGGCGAAAAAGGCGAGCAGCCGCAAGAATCGCTGTCGTCACGGTATCTCATGTCTTGTCTGCTACAGTCTAGCTGCAAAACGACCTACGGCAGAAAACAGCGTCTGCTGTGTCCAACTCCACTGCTGCGACCCTGCCAGGACTGGAACAAGCAAAAGCATGACACTTTTTTTGACGTCATCGGGCAGAAGTCTAGAGATTACTTTTGAAGATCCGGTTAATGCAGCAGTCAGAAACGCGCTCCAGGCATCGTAGTATGACGGCGACTAGTCTGTTTATTGAGCTGCTAGGTGGCAGTGTGTTTTTGAAGAAGTCTATTCGATCAAATACCAAAAATTATATTTCCGAATAGCTCGACACACCTCGTCCTCCTCTTGAAGACTGGCGTGGACGGCAGCCTCCCTCTGAAGTTGCTGCTGGAGTTCCAGGGCAATCTTCTCATCGTCAACCTCCCTGTAATGGACATTGTGGCATTTGGCAGCGAGGCACAATGCAGATGTGCACTACTCCATTTTTTGGGGTCGGTAGCCATTCTTTTTGACTAGAAGGGGCCACTGTGGCATTCGGGCATGTGCCGATTGATGAAGGACGCTATATGAACATCTGTGAATGCTTCATTTAGGCACGAAATCATAAATAAAATAGAATTGCACTAAAATAATGTTAAAAATTTTTGAGTATAAGAATGGATGTCTTGTTCGAAGGGTACAATAAAACTGAATTCTGAATAAAAAAAAAAGGTTATGTCATTAATTATGCACATCAATAGAATTTCAGATGTAGAGTTATATGATGATGCCAAATTAGCACCCAAAAAAATAACTATGCCTTCTAAAAAAGAAAAAAGAAAAAAAAAGTCCAGATGAACCCATTATGCTTATTCCCAAGCTTCCATTCGTTCACTGCTAAAGTTAATTCAGCTTCACTTCAAATTTCACTGACATTGCTTTCAAACATAGTTCGGCCAACGTAGAAGTGATAACCAAGCAAAGAAGTTGACATTAAAGATTTGACTTGTGATGCTGCTCTTTGACTAAGCTTCCGAGGCAGCACAACAGGTGGGGTACACATGGGCCCCACCTATGCAATATGGACTGGGGCAGCCCGTGCAAAATCCCCGTTGGTTCCACGTGTACGAAGCGTGGGCATGCGCAATTTGGGCTGCCCATGGAATAGACGGGGAAAAGTTGAGCTAATTGCTGATACATATTTGGGCGAAACCGGCTGAATATACAAATATCAAGCATCCATAAAAATGAGAGGAGAAAATAAAATTTGCATTCAACTACTGTATTACCAACTGTTTAATGAGTCTTCTTCCTCTTTGACTAGCTTTGCTTGTTCTATTTTTCTTCTTCATTTGTTTCTGCATTCTGCACTTCATGATAGTCTTTTTCTTCGTCAACTACATTATGCTTGCTCCTCGATTTTCCAATTGTTAGAAGTACTGTCGCCTTGCAAAAATGTTTTCTATCTTTTGGATAAAAAAAAATTTGGGGTGTGTCTATGTTTATACTGCCTAGAACTATATAGTCTGCCTCGACGGGCGACTTGTCCCCAACTGTAGATGAGCAATTTAGCCAGTGCAGTACAAACCGTTAGTCTGGGGTCTTTAACGTGCACCACGCAGTAGTGATACACAATTGCACGCCGGTACAATGCTCATCCAGATTGAAACGGGCAGGGGTGGGGATCGAACCCAGGATCCCTGGGTTCTGCAGTGCGAGCTCTCTTTTGGATAGGGAGGCTGATGATGAACTAACGCACTTGTCTTCTTTCTCTTCTATGGCCAAGGCCTCCAACACTGCGAGGTTGGCCTTGCACGAGCGTGCGCGACAGTGTGCGGCCAGGTTTCTTGCTGTCAACAAGTTTTTCAGGTTGTTCGCATGTTCCCGTGTTCTGTCATTAATGCAGCGCTCCGTTTGTCCAATGTAGCACCATCTTGGGGCACCACAAAAATCAGTTTGCCTGAGAGGTGTTGGAGGCCTTGGCTATAGAAGAGAAAGAAGACGAGCGCGTTAGTTCATCATTAGTGTTGTATTCGCGTAGACTAGGTGGCTACCGCCCGAATACTTAGGTTTATTGATCAGAAGCGGATCAGCGTTCGGGGACGACTGGCTTGCGCCATCGGGGCTCGTGTCTCTGGGTCGCGCTGTGCGGGCACGCGCTCTGGCTGCAGATCGCTTTTGATATTTGGTGGTCGCGTGGCTCCGCTGGTTATCACACTCCTTCCCCCTCTAGATGCCGTCGCCATATCTATCAGGAGGCCGTCTTGAACGTTGTGGTCTAGAGGTAGGTGGCGGAACCATCTGCCCATCGGGATGAACCTCTATAAATTCCTGTGCATCTTTTGTTGCTGGCTGCACAACCATCGGAATGGTCCACTGCGCGGGTAAAGCTTGTGGGCTGTTGTTGCTGATGCCTTTTGCTGAAGATGGTATCGTGACCACTTGTCCTGAAGCGTCTTCTGCGGAATATCTGATATGATCTTCGTGCCTTCGTACAGTGCCATCCCTTGTCTTCACAACCCAAGAACGGAGTCCGAGCCTTTTAACCACTGTTCCTGGTATCCACAACGGCGTTCCTCTGAAGTTTCTAATGAATACGTTGCTGTTGACCGCAATCTTCCTAGGAGACGTGACTGGTTGTGTCGCTTCTTCATCTCGCTCTCTCTGCGGTTGTAGACGTGTGAGTGCTGTTGACAATTCTCGACCGAACATGAGCACAGCCGGCGTCTTTTCTGTCGTGAGACTGATTGTGGTATGTTGTTTAAGCAGAAATCGAGCAAGCCGGCACGACAAGTTTCCCGTCTTGTCTTTAGATAAGGCCTGTTTAGTTTCGTACACCATTCTTTCTGCTTGGCCATTGGTCGCCGGATGGTATGGAGCACTTGTTACGTGACGAATACCGTTATTCTGTAAGAATTGTTCGGTCTCGGTGGATACAAACGATGTGCCGTTGTCGCTGACAATCTTACGTGGTACTCCGAACGTTCCAAACAAGTTTCGGAGTTCTTGGATCAGTGACCCGGAGTTGATGTTGTTCATTTGGCGAACTTCGAGCCATTTGCTGAAGGCATCAACAACTATCAATAGCATTTTTCCTTCCACGGGTCCGGCGAAGTCGACGTGTAGAGTGTCCCATGGCTTCGATGGTCGTTGCCATTCCGGAACAGGTGCCTTGGGCGGTGCTCGTTGGTGCTGTTGGCAAATGCAGCATGTCCTTGCCTTCACCTCGATATCCTTGTCTACTTCAGGCCACCAGACGTAGCCACGAGCAGCCGCCTTCATTGTCACCATGCCTCGATGACCAGCATGCAGTAAATCGAGTACCTGAGCTCTGGCTGCGCTGGGGATGACCACTCGTGATCCTCTGGTCAAGCAGCCGTTGAGCGTCGAGAGTTCCTTGGCGACACTTTTGTATTGCCTGCAGTTATCCCCGTTGAGCTCTTTTACGCTGCCGTGATGTACAGCCTTGTAAACTGTCGCTAAGGCTTCGTCTTGTTGAGTGAGTGCTGCAATGCGTTCTGGAGATAGTAGAGGAATCGGCGAGCCTGCAAGCATCAGCACCTCACCTGGGGTGCAGGGCTCGTCGATATCAGCAGGAAGGGGTAGCCGGCTGAGGGCGTCTGCGTTTTGATGTAGTTTTCCTCGTCTGTACCTTAGTTCATAGTCGTAGGCGCCGAGTTTTATACACCATCGCGTCATACGGGGGGATAGAACTTGCGGTATGAGTTTCAAGCCTCCCAGTATTCCCAAAAGTGGTTGGTGGTCGGTGTAGATTACGACCTGTCGTCCAGCGATGTACTCATGGAAATGGCATACAGCGTAGACGATGGCCAACCCTTCTTTGTCCAACTGGGAATAGTTTTTCACCGCGACTCCTAGTGTTCTGGACGCAAAAGCGATTGGAGCTTCGCGTCCATCGGAGTCTTTCTGAGCGAGTACTGCTCCAATGCCGTACGGAGACGCGTCACAAGACAACAGCAGGGGCCTATTTTCGTCATAATGCTTGAGAACGGTAGGGTCCTTAATCAACTCCTTAAGTTTGCGAAATGCCTCCCTGTGACTGTCCGTCCAGAGCCATGGCCTGTCCTTCTCAAGAAGCTTGTAGAGGTCGGCTGCGACCGTAGCCCTGTTCTTGAGGAAGCGATCGTAAAACGCAAGCAACCCCAAAAAGGCTTGCAGTTCCTGTCTTCCTGTTGGCTCTGGAGCATTGAGGATCGCTTGCACCTTGTCAGCGGTTGTATGAACACCTGCGGCGTCAATCCTGTGTCCCAGAAATGTAGCCTCGCTGACTGCAAACTTGCATTTTTCTTTCTTGAGTTTCAGACCGCAGCTGTCTAGCCTGGATAGAACTTGGTCCAGACGTTCATTATGCTCTTCTATGGTTGCTCCGCTGATAATGATGTCGTCAAGGTAGACGCTTATACCTTCAATGCCAGCTAGTGTCGTCTCCATCATCCTCTGGAAGATCGCTGGCGCTGCTGAAATTCCAAATGGCAGCCGTGTAATTCTGTACAATCCTTTAATTGTGTTGATTGTCAGCACAGCTGCTGTGGACTCTGTCACCTTCAGCTGCTGGTACGCTTGGCACAGGTCCATTGTGGAGAAGATGGTCCCTCCTCTGAGGTTTGACAGGACTTTTCCTGACGTAGGTAGCGGATAACTTGACTTTTTTGATGCGGCGTTCACAGTGCTCCTGTAATCGCCACACAATCTGATAGCTCCGCTCTTTTTCCGGACGAGTACCAGCGGCGTAGCCCATTCAGCGTGCTGGACTGGTTCAATGATTCCTTGCTGCTGTAGCTGCTGAAGCTCGAGCGTTACAGCTGAGCGGAGCGCGAGGGGAACCGGGCGAGCTTTGCAAAACTTCGGCTTTGCTGCTTCCTCCAGTTCCAAGTGCACTGGGGGTCCCCTGTAGCCGGAGATTTCATCCTGGAACACCTTGGGATGTCGTTGAAGGACTGCTTCCACCTCTGGCGGCGTGGTTTGTTGCTGCACCAGGTTGATCCCCTGTACTCTGATGCGGAGTGCGTCGAACCAATCTCTGCCCAAAAGGCTGCAGCCGGACCCTTTCATCACTAGCAGCGGCAGGATATAATCTTTTGACTTGAAACGTACATGCACTTGAAGCGAACCAAGAAGTTTCAGGCCCTCACCACTCCAAGTGAAAAGTTCCAAGTCATTCTTCGTGATTTTCGGGGGATTCTTAGGCCACGTGGAGCGAAATGTCTCTTCGCTAATCAGTGAACAAGCGGCGCCAGAATCAACCTCGAACTGAAGAGGCTTGCCCTCAATCTGAAGAGAAACGTGAAATTTGGGAACGTGCCTTCTGGTGGACAGCTTGTTCAGTTCATAAAATGAACTTCTGGAAGAACACGTCGGCTGGCTCCCGCCTTCCATCACTGGTTCAACGTTGTGATTTGTTTTCTTGCGTCCTGCTTTGCCTTGGTGCTTCTTCGTCAGACATGCCTTTTCGATATGTCCAGTCTTCTTACAGTACCGACACTCAGTCTTCTGGAATCGGCACTCTTGTGGCTCGTGCTGACCCGTGCATCGGTAGCAACGACGTTCTTTGTGTGAAGCAGAATTCTTGTCGGCTTTCACAGTCTTGTTAATTTGGAGCTCCTCCTGGTTCTTGATGGCTTTCTGCTGTTTGTAGGCGCTCTCTGCTCTGACAGCAATGTCCAATGCGCTGGAGAACGTTAGGTCTTTCTCCGCAAACAGTCGTTGTTGCAGGAGTTCGTCGCGGATGCCGCAGACGAACCGGTCGCGCAGCATCACTTCCAGCGGCAGTTTGGTGTCCACTTGTGGCATCGCTTGTTGCTGAGTGCTAGCTGCAGCACCGGATGTTTGAGACGACGCTGGTAAACCCGACGCTGGAAGCTGCGCAGTTGTCGAAGCGATTTGCGGAGTTGCGGAGGGCAAGATGCCGAAATTACAGTCGCTTGCTAGCTGCTTGAGAGCCGCAACGTAGCTACTTATTGATTCTTCCGGCAATTGGTCTCGCCGTTGAAATTTGAACCGGCTGTAGAGCTCTGAAGGTCGAGGGTCGAAGTGCGCACCAAGGATGGTCACGAGCTCGTCGAACTCAACCTCGCCAGGTCCTCTGGGTGCCACTAATGCTCGTACCACTTCGTAAGTCTCTGGGCCACAGAGCGTTAAAAGGAGCGCTCGCTTCTTATCCATGGCGTTGATGCCATTGGCCACGAAGTAAAATCCGAGATGTTCGAACCACGATGTCCATGACTTGCCTGAGAAGGCTTCCAGCTTCCCTTGCATGGCCATGGCTTGTGGTCGGTGGTTTCAGGCTTCGTTGGTCCTTGGTTCCTCGTCGCCAGTGTTGTATTCGCGTAGACTAGGTGGCTACCGCCCGAATACTTAGGTTTATTGATCAGAAGCGGATCAGCGTTCGGGGACGACTGGCTTGCGCCATCGGGGCTCGTGTCTCTGGGTCGCGCTGTGCGGGCACGCGCTCTGGCTGCAGATCGCTTTTGATATTTGGTGGTCGCATGGCTCCGCTGGCCATCACAATTAGTCTCCCTATCCAAAAGAGAGAAAACGTTCCTGCGAGGCGACGGTACTTTTAACAATTAGGAAATCGAGGTAAAAACATAAGCTAGTTGAAGAAGAAGACTATCATGAAATGCAGAATGAAGAAACAAATGAAGAAAAATAGAACAAACAAAGCTAGTCGAAGAGGATGAAGAATCTCATTAAACAGTTGGTAGTACAGCAGTTGAATGATCATTTTATTTTCTCCTCTCATTTGTATGGATGGTTGATATTTGTATGTTCAGCTGGTTTTGCCTAAATATGCCCATGCAATGCCCTGGTGGGTTCCACCTTGGCTATGCGAGGGCAAAGATGGGCAAAGCGTGGGCATGCCTAATTTGGGCAGCCCATGCAATGCCCCCATGAGTCCCTCCTCAGCTGTACGGAGGCAAGGTTAGCATAGATGTGGGTTCCGAGACGGTAAAGCGTGGGCATCCCCAACTTGGATTGCCCATGCAACTCCAAAAATGTCACTTTCTGCTGATATTAAGATTACTTACTGCACATTCTGGAAATTCAGCATGGGAGATCGGCTTAATTTGACACCAAATTACCGAGGATTGTAATTTTAAGCAGAGAGAAGTTTTAGGCTTGCAAAACTTTAGCACTAAATTAATCATCAGCGTGTATGTTGCGAGTTCCATTTTATCTGGGGTGGAATTTTTTAAACACAGTAACTATGAGGGAGAATTTCAAGCACGCTCGTATCTGTTCTAAAACTCTGTGTCTGCAGCTTGCTTCAGCTGGCTATATTTTGGATTACCTGTCCAACAGGATTTTATATGAAAATGAGCACAGTCTTTTTGTTTCATTTTGTACACTTGAAATGCCCAATTTTCTATGGTCTTGCTCGAGACATTTTATTGATCTATCAAAATGTTAAGAATTTTTCCAGTAGGCACATTAGAAATGTGAAGCATGCTCGATTTTGAATGCACTGCAGTGTCTCAACCGTAAAGAAATTGTGAAATAACCCCAAACGTAATGAGGTTCCCGGGGGGATCTCATGTGGGACGCCCAAGTGGCCCTCTGTAGGCTCCACGGGGGTGGCCCATGTGGGCTGCCCAAGTAAACCCACTGTCTGTCCCACGAAGGCAGCCCATATGGGCTGCCTTCACGAAGGCAGCCCAGACTCGACTTGCAAATTGGACTCACGTGGGCTGTCCAAATGGGATTCAGATTGGCTCCACTTTCAGAGCCCAATTTGTGCTACTTATGATTACTTAAAAACTTTTTCACTGCACCCCAAAATTCTTCTTTAAATAAAAAATTTAAAGCGCCCCTAAAAAGTAAAAAAAACAACGTTTTTTTAACAATCTAATTGGAACACACAAGTCAAAAAACTAATTTTACGCCAAAAAAAAATTTTAGATCAGTACTGACGGTGTGAGACACAATTTAGTTCGCAGGCAACTCCTTTCCACTTGTTTTCTCTCTCGGCATATCGGGCGCGTGGAAGAGAGGTGGATGGGCTTCGCCTTCACGATCGACATGGTCATTCCGGAATGACCTGTCACATCATGGACTTTGCCCGCAGAATTTCAAATAAATCTCTCGCCGTCGATATTGCTCCAATTTTTTTTTGCGTAGAATTTATTATTTGACACGCGTGTCCCAATCAGACTTAATTTCCTTTCTTTTTAAGGATTTTTTAAAGAAATATTACAGCCAATGATATGTAACTTGTCAGAACATTGACCTCTAAAAAAAAAAAAAAAAAAAACTAGCTGCAATGTTATTAAAAAAAAAGACGTATATATATATATATTGCAAGGTAAATAAGAGTTGTTATAAACGCATGCACAAAGTTTCTTTTTCCTTTTAACACTTCACATTTTTAAGTGCACCGCTCAGGAGGACTTGTGGCAGCGGTGCGGTAAAGCGAGATAAACAGAACAACGATGTTTACCCCCGCATATGTCGCTTCTCTGCAGAACGACATCGCGCGTGGAGAAGCGCACTCAACGGAGCTAGCTAGCTCCGTTGAGTGCGCTTCTCCAACATAGCGCAACTCCCGAACACTGTCACTGGTCGATTTGAAAATGAAATCAAATAGTGTCTCATTCAATTGTGCAACTCCTGAATACTGTCACTGGTCGATTTGAAGATGAAATCAAATAATGTCTCATTCAAAGTTATAATCAAAATGCCTCAAAATTCGCGCAAGCCCACCATAAGAATCGGGCAGTTTAACGGGGTACTGAGCAGAGCATTTAGTTTCAGAGTTGAGAAAACGTTGTACATTGGCACAATGTTGGCATAAATTCGCAATCACGTCACTTGTATTCCTATACTCACGTTACCGGGTGCCACCACAAATCTAAGCAAAAACACAAAGACGCAAAAAAAAAAAAAAAGACTCCTTAAAACGTTTTTAGAGCTGGCGTTCAAATCATAAAGCTTTAAAATGAAAGTGTAGAAATTTTGGCTGGAGTCACGAATAGTGATCAGACCTCCACGAAGAAGGTAAGCAGTTTCACGGGGCATATGCCAACCGTTCACTTTCAGTTAGCAAGATTTTGAATGCACTGCGAACAGTTCACTGTCAGCTAGCCTGGCTTTGCGGCAGCACTAAAGGTCGGTTCACACACTTGCGTCGAGTCCGACAGAGTAAGAGGGTTGCTACGGCAACAGCTGCGTCAGCAACAGCTGCGTTGAAGCCGACGTACCTGTTGCCACAGCAACCATCGCACTCAATCATACTTAACGCCCAAGTGTAGTTCTCATCCTTCTACATAGGGGCCCGTTCCTACGGATTGGACGGATAAAGCGGAGAAAGAGAGAGACAGGAAAGGTGTTAACACACCCAGTCTCCCCTCCCTCCCCCCTCCCTTGCTCCGCGCGGCGCCACGCCATTGGTCGCACGCGCTATGACGTCAAACCAACAGCTGCGATTCGTTGCTGATGCTCCTTCCCTTGGTCTTGCGACGGCGCAACCAATACCAACACGAGCAAGCAAGGTCCGTAAAGGGTTCGCGTTTAAAGCTATACCGATTTAAAATGACGAAAACGAAGAAACCACGACCACTGACTGTTGGTGCAGCATGTGGTCGTAGGCGTCCCTCAGGAACTGCGCCTCCTCCTCTTCGGTGCGTTGTACCGTCTTGGCGATGGGCAGGTCTGACCGGAGGACCTGGTTGTTGGTGCGGTTCAGGTTGTAGCGCTGGTTGACTGGAACGACATGTGCAACAGGCATGAAGCCAGGGCCAGGTAACTACGGTCAGAGTCGTGACAATGCAATGACCCTATCAGCAGAACGAACAAACTCGTGCCTTTGGCATATGGCGAAATATCTGTAGCACCAGTGAAACATAATGCGTAAAAGGAAATGACAGCTAGCAGGAAAACTGGAAGAAATAAGCATTCAACCGAGCCTCTCAAGTCTTAACTGAGATGCACACCCTTAATGCAATAAATGCTTAGAAGAATTAGAACCGTGTCTAACAGATTGTTGAACGCTGAAAAACTCGTTACCGGCTGAATTCTGACCAAGTTGCAGGGAGCGTGCAGATGTGGTTAAATTTTAGGACTTCGTTCCACTTATAAGTGTGTGAGTCAGTTGAGGTACTATAGCGTTATATCTCATAAATACATGAAAGTACACCTCTTTTCCTTATTAGGTTAACACAAAAAAATTAAAGGTTTTTTTTTTGTTTTTTTTTTACACTGGCGTTATATACTATGAAATGTGGCATTTCAGATTGAGACTGTCTTGCCAACCATGTGCACTGACAAAAGATAAAGCATTTAAGCATTTGAAGTGAAAGGTGCCCTTGCCAGCGCATCTGGATGATCTAAGCAATATTGATGGGTAAAAGGAACCACCTACTCCCAGCAAATCTGGCGAAGAAATTGAATTAGTTAATAACACCAATTCAGGTTGCGTCATACATGACCTAACCGTCATACCTGGCTCATCTTAACAATGTTACGTCGCACGTGGGTCATGTGACGTCAATTAATAAGCAACATGTTCTTCACTCTTCGAAACAACTTTTTAAATGTCTTCTAAACAAATTTAAACCACTGCTCCTTAAAATACTCTATTCCAAAGGCAGCCAAACTGCGGCTCGTGAGCCACATGTGGCTCTTCGCGGGTTCTAAGTGCAGCTCGCGGCTCTTTTGTAAGCCTTCCCCCTTCCCCTCCTGTGACCCCCCCCCCCCCCCCCCCCCCCGAAAAAAAAATATAAATAAAAAATGAAAGCTCCAAGCTCTGGCAGCCCTACATTCACACAGCTGGAATGCTTTTTGACACGTAGACGTCTCCAACGACCCCGTTTTCGAAGGGGCAGCGGCTGGCTAGCGAACCATGCATTCATGTTTGCTTAGTGGTTGAAGAAACGTTGCCTGGTGTTATTTGATGGAATCGACAATTGTACTTGTCCCCTCGGGTAAGGACTGTTCCCTCCATATCGTTTCTTGTTAAAAGTAACCCCCCGCCCCCTTTTTTTTTTGTTTTTTTTTTTCTTCTGCGGCTCTTTGAAATTTTGTAGTTTTGTCTGCGGTTCTAAGCCCATGTCACTCTGGCCATCTCTGTTCATTCCATGCGTATGACTGAAATGAAAGTGGTTGACAATTTATTTAACAAAAATTATTCTCCTGCCAAACAAATGGACATAAATATTTATCAGTCATTTACTTTCGTAAGAAATTCACCAAACTCTGCAAGAGCTTAGTAAAAGGTAAGACATTCTAGGTTGATTTCGTTTCCAACAAAACACTAAGGCCATATGTGGAGCCATCCTGTTACTGTAAAATCGAAAAAAATAAGTTCAAACATCGAAGCAAGTGTCTTTTGTAGAAGTTCCTTCTTCATTACGTTCCCTTGGCTGCAAACAGAAAGACATGGCGATAAAGATGTCAGAAAAACCTTGTAACACATTTTCTAAAAAAATAAATAAATAAATAAATAAAAGCTCTAGCCTGTGGGAATCTCCCTGCCATTTCAACATGCCTATTTTGCTGACGTTCAATGCTGCATGACTACCAACGCCAAAAAAAAAAAAAAAAAATCTAACTCCTTCAGTCTTCCTTTTTTATGTTGTGCCATTGACAACAATCTTAACAACTGCAAAAAAAAAAAAAGGAAACAGTAGCACATTTTTAAGCTGAAGTCGAGCAAAGGTGTTTGCCACATAAGGTGCGCTACGCATAATCAGTATCGATACAGAAAAATATAATGGATTACGCCATAATGAATATTAGGAAATACAAGAATTTGCCAATACTCAAAATGGTGATGCTTAGTAGCTTCAAAGGGCTATCCCGGCCAAAAACAAAGTAATGTGCCATAGTTTCGTTATAGGAAGGATGTTCGCAAAATGTTGACCATGTCGTCTATAACCCAGTGGTCTTCAAGGACACGAGCAGCGAGTCCCCAGATTTTTTTTTCTTTTTTCTTTTTTTTTACATTTACCTATTGAGGTTTCCCACCTGTAACTTCGTAAAGAATAACAAATAATTACCGATAAATATTTTTTCTTAAATTGCTGCTGGCTTATAATTAATCTTGCGTGCATTACTGTCTCCTCCATCAGCTCGCCCCGCGAATTTCCTCCTAAAGCTAGAGTCACACTGCTCATCCACCATACAAAAGGCAGTCTGCATACAGATTCGAAAACGAGTCACAGCGAGATCCGTGCTTCGAATGCCGCACGGCAATGTTTCAAAAAGGAAACTTGGCACGCGACATTCGAAGCACGGATATTGCGGTGACTCGTGTTTGGAGACTGTCTTTTGTATGCTTATGATGTATGAGCAGGGGTGACCACTTTCCAACTTGTGAAACACAGGCCAAAATGTGAATCAGCTAATGTTTAGTTGTCAAGAAACGTTTCACACACATAAAAGCACCACTCTGTGGGCTGAAACATGTGTCTTGTCGGTTACCTTTTACTTTGTCCTCGTCTTCGTGCCGTTTTTGTTTTTATTATGTCTGTATACCAACCAGCCCAACCTTCAATGTTAATGATCTCTCTTCCCGAAACCAACTGAATGTTTACTTTTTTCAAATTATCATGCATGAATCTTATGATTATGATAATTTCGTTGTGACATATGTACTTTAGCAAATGATTAAGTGACATAGCAATGCTACCTCAAAGCAATGCCACATGCTGTAAATGACTATTTTCGCGGGCGCAATATTGTACACGCGTCATGTATGCGCACCGTCATGTACAGCCGCTATTAGATAATGTGCGCAACATGCACCGTGGTGTACATGTGGTATTGTGTTATGCGCAGTTGCTCTGCGCATCTAATCATTGTGGTGTGGCGCTAGTAACCTGCACTAATATACTCACCTAGATGGCGCCGCGTGTTGTTAAGTTTGATGTGCAATAAAGGAATAAAGCAAGTCGCTTCAGTTCACTACCGGCTGCCTGCCTTTGGAGTACGTTTCCTCTACAATCATCAGTGCATCTGATCATGCGCTGTGTATATAAATCCTGTGTTCTATTGAATGAACCGCCCGTTCGTCACTTGACATGCAACCATCTACAAATATAGCGAATTTTGCACAAAGCGTGTTTCGGGGATATTTTGCAGCCACAAAATTTCACGATTTAGAAAGACATGCTTCGTACCCCTGGGCTGATATACTTATTCGCGTAATAAATTTCTCCGCTATATTTTCAAAGTCACATACCTCGTGGAAATTACGTCTTTACGAAGACTACGTATTTTACAGTATATAGTATATGTCTCCGTCACCGCTACAGCTTAGAAGTTCGATGCTAACTGAGCATGGAGAACTTTCTTTATACAACAGATGCGTGCACCTGCTCGCCCTCCTAGAAGTGTTTGTCCACCAGGCCACTTAAGTACCGCGGGGAAGCAGTGCTTTTGGATACAAGCGTTCGCAGCTTTCACTTTATTACCAGAGAAAATTTACAAAAGTGCCCACGCAGCCACTATTTTCTAGAAAGCGGTTTGTTAAGGTTGGCGAGGCCACTAACGGAACAAATCACAAAATGAACGCATACAGGGGCAGAGAATTCCCGTATCAAAGAGCCGCTTTTCGCTGCGAATGACATTCACGTTGCGGGAAAGCGCACTTAAAGGCTGCTTCTGACATTTGGGTTCACAGTGCGCTGCGTTGCGTTGCACTGCGTTCCACTGCAGCAAAGCAGGCGGCCCGGATTGCCGTGGTAACGTTTAGAAACATCTCGTAGTGTGCAGTCATAAAAATAAAAATGTAGGTTTTTTGTTAGGAGCCTTACCAACAAAGGGCAGCTGGCACGAACCAGCGAAGGACTGACGATTAATTTGGACCACCGGGGATTTGGCAAAAAACTGAAATCTGGGTTAAGCCAGTCCAAGCCAAACCGAATTGCCAAATGCACGTTTCCAAAAACCATTTTTTTTTACGTGTTTATGATGTCATTTTGCCGCTGTTCGTTTCAGGTACCCAGGGAAGGTCGAACATTTCAGGCAAAGGGACTCACTTTCTTGAGACTGTAACCTGTATGCCAGGACGCCATCTTCTCGCACCAGCCATTCCTTGCAAACTGGAAAGATTCAAAATATGATAACAAATGAGAAAAAAAAAAAAAAAAAACCCGTTTTTTTTTAAAGAATATTATTCATTCCAGCTACATATTCTGATAGAACATTTCTCACCGATTCGGTAGTGACAAAATAAGCAGCTCTGGTAGACCGTTTTCACTGTCCCGCAGCGCCCACCGCAGCCCGCTACCAGATACAAAAAGTAGTCAAGGGTAGCGGAGCAGATGCACCGCTACCCTTGACTGACAAAACGGACTCTTTCCCACTCCGATTCAGTTTAATCCGATTATTGCGTATTGGAAGTCATGAGTGGTGGCTTTTGCACCAAACACATCTTGGTCACTGCAAAGGTGCCCCACATTTCTTTTTTTTCTCTGAAGTTCACACGATTTTTTTTTTTTTAACGTAGGCTGTTATTACGCGGCCGGCGGTATGTATATCAAATTGTGTAATTTATGGTTTTTAAGATAAAATATCCGTAACAAAAGAAAAGGAAAGACGTTTGCAAATCTCCGTAATGCGAAATCATAGCGCAGCTCTTGAGGAGCAAGAGGGGAGGGTACGAAGGGGAGGATATCCCCGTCTTCCTCCTCAGAACCCTCCTTCCTCCTCTTCCTCCCCTGCTCCTGACCTCAACACCAATTGAGTTTCCCTGCAAAATTTAGCGGGAAAAATGACGTAACATGACCTCAGCACCAATTCAGTTTCCCCGCTAAATTCAACGAGGAAAATGACGTCACTACTTCGTGTCACGTTACCCATGAACAAATTCAGTTTCTCCGTTAGATTTAAACTAGAAAAAAAAAAAAAAGGGAGTGTGTCCAGCTGTCGTGAAAGTTTGGGTGAACCTGGTGGCAATTGTTCCCCCCAAGGTCATCCCGTGAAGTATCAACAACGCGTCGATCCCGTAACATCCAGCGGCCACGCTGTCTCTTTGTAAGTTGGGCTTCGCTGCAACGATCCAAAACGAAGTCGGGGGTAAAACAATCGAGGCGAGTGCCGCGATTTTTAAAAGTAAGGTTGGCGGCTTTCCAGAGCTTCTCGGGCAAAAAGTGTCGAGTCACAGGGCTGCAGACGCATGCGTGACGTCACGCGCACGCCATCATTGGTTGAGGTGGGGGGGGGGGGGGGGGGGGGGGGGGGGACAAAGACACGTGGGTACATTTGGCGGGGAAACAAACGCAAGAGGTGCGCTAACAGCGGACGAAATCGCCCTTGCAACACGCGCATCCGAGCTTTTTTCGATCGTACGTACTACGCCAATGAAAGAAAAGCAGCTATGCGCTACCCGAGCACCTAATCCGCCTCTTCGACGACGCTCGTGCAAATACACGGGTTGCTGACAAGGTGTCGCGTCCGCCAACACACAGTTTGTCGCCTGTTCGGCTATTGCAACGGCACCCTGCACAAACGAACGAAAGTGAACACTACAATTTCAAGTTGCCAGATTATAGCCACGATTCGTCGTCCGTCGCCCGAAGCTTCCGCATCACCGAGCACGCAATCAGCGCGTTGAGGTAAACCACAGGCTTAGGTAAACATTAAAAAGAGAAAAACGAAACCCCTCGGTGCTTTGTGTCTTCTTCCCCTCCCCTCCCCCAAATTGATGGTTATAACTTATAATGCAAGAATTCGATGTGCACTTCCACATAAAATGCGATGCTCTTTATAATCGTGCAAGGATTCACGCGCGAGAGCGTATGTGTGTGCACTTATGTGTGTGCGTGTTGTGTGTCGTGCCCTGTTTGGCATCGGGGTTGCGGACAATGTCCGGCACAAACACAGCTGCTGAGCCTATCCGCTTGGATTAGCAGATTGGGAAGTGCTTCGAACCGTTGCGAAGCCCCCTTTTGAACGCGCCCGGCTTCCCTCTCCGCTCTCGCTGCTGCAGGGGTCAGGACAGCTCCAATGACCGAGCTGACGGCACCGCGCTAAGTGCGGTATCGCGGTGTACCGCTAGAAGCAGAGCTGGAAGAGCGCTTCGTCGTGTTTAAAAGTCGGGGCTCCTAGAGAACTTTAAACGCCCACTGCTCTGCGTCGCATCCAACCGAATGTGTCACCACTCCCAACTTTGACGAGGTCGCCAACGCCGCGCCGTTATGAATGATAGAGAAACAAAAGCGGCAAAAATCAAAGAAAAAAGGACAGAAAAAAAAAAAGGAACGAGAGGCGTATCTTTGACAAATAATGATAACCGCTTTATAACGAAGATGTTCCCGACTTACAACGTAGACTTGCACAGTTATTGATTGACTGATGAGGGGCTTTATAGCGCAACAGCGACGTGGCCATTCTGCGCCATACTCAACTATTTGGATGTTGCACAAAAGCGGAGATCACTGTGAAATGTAACAGCCAATTGACCAAGTGAAAGATAAAATGCTAAGGAAGATTTAATGAGCTGTGAAGGACTTGTACAATAAGAAGTGGTGTGGTGGAGAAGTGTAAACGCAAAATACCCGTTTTACCAAGAAATGTGACCACATGTTCGAAAGGAATTAACGGCTGCTCGCTAAGCATAAGTGCAGAATGAAATGGAATATGGTACCGCAACGATTCTGGGAAAAAAGAGTGCCTTTGCTGAGCAAGGCCATGTCATATAGACAGAGAACATGCCAGACCGTCAAGGTCTCGCCGCAGCGTTCGCACAGTGGCTGATCTGCCCCACGCAGCGAGTATCCATGGGTGGCATAACAGTGGCCAAGCCTCAAACAACAGCGTAAGACCTTTTGAGACCTGGTTTTATGAAAAGACCTCTCCCATGTTCCTAAGGCAGGCCTGATGGTATGCAGCTTATTATTATGCTCTTGGTCCCACTCTGATTGCCGTTTTCGAAAAGGCGATTTTGAGGTCCTGGTGTAGCAAGTGCATCAACATTTCAACAGTGCACGTGAAAGAAGCTGCGAAGCAGTCTGCTTTCTCATTGCCGTTAAGCCCAACATGACTGGGTACTGGGCAAGATGTTATGTCATATCCATTCTGTAGGCTTCTGATAATTTTGGCACGCACCAGTTGACTAAGATTATGTTTTGCATCTTTAATGGGACTGATTGCGACGACACTTTGGGAATCTACAAAGGGAATAAACCTTCATGGTCAGCTTTGTGTAATATACTCTACATTTGTTAAACAGCCATCGTGACCCTCGTCCATCGTGACGCTCACGAGGGTCACGATGGCTACCCTCACGAGGGTCACGAGGGTTACCCTCAAGCGGGTTACACTCACGAGGGTCACAATGGTTACCCTCACGAGGGTCCCGAGGGTTACCCTCACGAGAATCATAAGGGTTACCCCCTGAGATCACGTGACCCCCTGAAGTCACGTGATTCCCCTGAAGTCACGTGACCCCCTCATGTCACTTGACCCCCTCATGTCACTTGACCCCCTCATGTCACGTGACCCCCTCATGTCACGTGACCCCCTCATGTCACGTGACCCCCCTCATGTCACGTGACCCCCCTCATGTCACGTGACCCCCCTCATGTCACGTGACCCCCCTCATGTCACGTGACCCCTTCATAACACGTGACCCCCCTCATGTCACGTGACCCCCTGAGGTCGCAGGACCTCAGGGAGTCACCTATCCCTCAGTACCCTTCCATCCTATACCTCAGTATCCTTCAATCCTCCTCCTCAAGAGCTGCGCTCTAATCCGGCGTTTCATTTTTTCGGTCGCGCACCAGTCACCTAGTCTTTGGAGATTTGTGCTTGACCTTTGTCCCTCTTGTTCCCCTTCTCTAGGGATTATTTTAGTAATTTTCTTCGAGCTCGCTTGCACCTTTGCATTTAATTGCATTATATACATGTCATGTTTTATCACTTTTATTCCACGCGTGACGTCACGTTTCACGTGAGCGTTGCGAGTTTTTTTAAATTCCCGCGCGAGGTCATATGGCTTTGACGTCATGACCCTATCGACCAATCAGGATTTGCCATCCGACGCCGCTGACGCCCGATTTTTTTTTTTTTTTTAGCTATCGCTTAAAAAAAAAAAAGAAAGTGACATGGAACAAGGGTGGGACACAGGTATCACGCCGTTTTTGGTCAAAAACTGACGAACGCTCAACGCGGAGTGTGCAGACAAGTTGTCATGGTGAACGAACCAGTCTCGAAACAACCCGAGTTGTCATTCTGCCCACACTGCGCTGAGTGTTCAGCAGCGTTTGACTAAAAACGGCATGGCCCTCGAGACCCATCCTACCTACTCACACAACTTCGTCCCACGTTATCGTTTCCCCAAATGAAAAAAAAAAAAAAAAAAAAAAAAAAGAAGTTGTCAAAATGACACAGTTTGTTATGTAGAAGAGGCGAAACAAAAAGCGGCAGATGCACCGAAAGACATAAAAAATCGACGAGTTTAAAGGCTATTTTGAGGAGTAGAAGAAATGACACAGCAAGTGTATTACATCAGGCGGAGAGCACAGTGAAAGTTACTAAAGCTTGAACGTAAGAAAATATAAACACGATCTTGTAAGAATAAATTCCGGTTTCTTTCGGGACCTTTTTCGTACCCCGCAGCATGTATGGGACACTAGGGTTGCCTCAGCGTTCAGCGAGGACTCGCATCCAATTAGGTAAACGCTTCATGCCCAAGAAATGGCGACGACCAATGCTGCTCGATCAACGTTTCAAAAAAGGTTCATTGACGTCACGAGAACCGTGGACCATTCACCCTTCGAAGCAAACCAGAAGCACATCATGATCACAGTAACCCGAGAAAGAAAAGAAAAAAAAAAAATCTAGAGATTAGTAAACAAAAGAAGAAGAAAAAGAGGGGGGGGGGGGGGGGGGGCAACGACTGAGGAGTAGCTAGAAGTAACCTATCACGGTATACGTTCCGAACCCACGAGACGCACGCAATCGCAAGTAGCAGACGACTTTTCTCTTCGATTATCTTTCCAGTTGACTTTCTAGCAGACCCCCTTCCCCTTTCGAATCTCCGAAACTTGACGCAGCCACAAGAGCCAACGAAAAGCGAAACAACACAAAAAAATAAACG